AAATATGCCAAAATGAAAAAAAGTCACATTTCTAACAACAGCTTGAACCAAAATCACGTCTCTGTGTCTGTGTTACCTGACGACGCTGAACTTAAGGCTGTAGTTTCCTCCGCTCTGGATGATGGGGGGGTAACACATCTCCACGGTAGAAGGGTCTGCACCGCCCAGGTACTTCTTCTCCTCGATCGCCTTCTCCACCGACTCCGCCAGCTTACTGTGACGCACTTTCTGTTGGGAGGGGAAACAAGAGGGGAATAAAGTCTCTGGGTTTTGTTTTTTCCTGTAGAAATGACTAGCCATGTCCTATTATACAACTCCAGACAAATGACCTCTAAATGTAGGAGTATATGGTTCAATAAAGCTTCAATCAGGATACAAAAAACATGTGCCATGATATGACACAATATTAATGCTAATCAGCAGAAATTGTTCCAGGATGCTAATAATTGTTGCACTGTTATAAAAGTTAACTTATTCACAATTGAAATCAGACTAATTAATAGTATACAGTTTATTTAAAGATCCGAAGCAAATTGCCAGAGATGGAAGCTTTGCAGCAACTGTTTGTTGAAACTGTTTTTTTGTTTCTTGGGATGTTTTTGATGTACGACATTGATTTGCAGTTAGTAGGGTAATGTGACGTTTTTTTTTACTTCACTTGGATTCTCTTAAATATGTAAATGCAGCATAAGAGTACAAACAAGCTGAACAAATGGTTTCTGGTTCAATATCGTAGCGCATTTGAAAAAAACTGTTTGCCATAAACAGGGTTCATACACTTTTTCACCAATGATTTTCAATGACTTCTCCATGACCTTTACCTAATTTTCCATGACTAAAAACATTACTCTTTCTCAGCGGTACCACTGAAAATGGTTTATTTTAACATGGAACAGGAAAATAAGGTCTGCATATGAAACATGTTGTGCCTATCTAAAACAAATCCAATAGTTGGCTTACTAGCTTCTACACGCTAACGCAACTAAAATCTCTCACCAGCAAAACACCTCGTCAGTTAAATGCCATTTTACGTTTCATTACTATACGATACAGTATTTATTATCATTATAGTATTACTATTTCGGCGATTAGCTAAAATATAAATTATATTTGATGCAACTTTAGTTACATTTCCATGACTTTTCCAAAACTTTGGGAACAATATAGTTTTCCATAACTTTTCCAGGGCCTGGAATTAGCATTTTGAATTTCCATGACTTTTCCAGGTTTTTAATGACCGTAAGAACCCTGCATAAAGTTATAGTTTACACAGCAGTAGAGAATACAGGAACAACAATCAGAGCCAAAGTATGGCACATAAATCTGCTCCAGTACGAGCACTCGCACAGTAATATGGTTATTCAATCATCAGTTTAAAGATAATCCACGGTGCTTTCTCCTCACCTCGTCGGCATCAACGATCTCCATGACGCGCTCCTTGAAGAACTTGGAGTAAACCTCGCTGGTGATGGACGCCGCCTTCTTCATCAGGTTCAGCTCTCCGTCTTCCTTTACCGCCATCGTGTACGCAACCACAGCGCTGATGTCTACCTGCAGACAGGAAGCCACGCAAAAAGAGAGGTGTTAAAAACAACGGATCACGCAGAGAGGTAAAAAAAATTCATCTATAATTGACATTTTTGATCGTCTCCTACCTTCTCCAGACCCTCAGCGCTAATCGTTTCGTTCCAGCTCTTCATGTACTCTCCGGGGAATTTGTCCTTGCTGAATATTCCCACCGTCTTTCCCTCTTTGCTGCCTTTGATCGCCTCGATCATCTTCTCAAAGTTAGTCTTGTTGCTTTCATTCTGAGACGTGTGACACAGAATAGCAATACATTAGAATTACTCTGACAAGGGAATACAAAAGTGTGCATCAAGAGCAAACGGCCTCAAATCACAAACAAGTCACATCTTCAAATGGTTTACATATAATTGTACAAAGTGGGGTTTGTATTCAGCCGTTACCTGTGTCTTTAACAGGTTACCTTTTCTCTGGTGAGCAGGGTGATGGGCGGCACACCGTTGGCGTTCTCGTTGCCTTTAGTTATAGCCACCTGTTTGAGGAAATCCACCTTCTTCTTGCTGGCGAGAAAGAGGATTTTGGTGTCGCAAAACACCATGATGGTGTCCGTCAACTCGTAGCCAAACAGCCATGTCTGAGGGGGAAAAATAAAGCGTTACGGTGAATATTTAAAAACCAAAACTGGTGCTCAAAACAGATTTTGATTGGGTAATTAATGCATATAACTCTTAACATGCATATTTACTCTCATGTAGCTTTAATTTATGGTCCTATATGGAAGTCAAGAGAGCAAAATCCTGTTGTCTCTCACCTGTATGGCTGTGGATTTGGCGTACACAATTTCCTCGTCCACTCCTACAGACACCACAATGGCATCAGCTTTTCCAAACTCATCTTCTCCTTTCTGGGAAACAAAACAATAAAAGCACACTTAATGTAATGTTATGCATGTAATCTATACTGGAGGTGCTCCTACTTCATTCACAGTAATCATCTCTGCTAGACAAAGAGTCATGTGTTACATGAAGCTATGTGTGGTAGCATCAGTGTAAAGTTGATTTGTAACACATCTGCCACATCAGCACCTGATGCTGCATCACCTGGCAGCACACAATAGAGTTAACGGTCATACACAGCTTATTTAAAAGTGTTTAAATTACAGTTACATTGCACATGAGGCGTTGTTTAATGAACAATGCATCAGACTGCATGATGTGTCTGCACTATCAAGTGAAAACTCTTCATGAAACATCAAGATACAACTTCTAAAAATAAGTTTGTGACTTGAAAATAAACACATCGTTATCTGTAGCAAACTAAAAACACTTAAACTATTAAGTCACTTCCAGTGGCTGCAGACATCCTGCACATGTTACTCGGATGCTGACGTTATTCTGATGCTAATTAGCCAGCTAACATTAGCATGTAGTGATATAAACAAAAATCACAAACTGACAGTGAATGTAATGATTTAGGACCCAATGTGAAGCACCATTGCATGGAAAGGCATGTTTCAATGTCACCACAACACTGTTTATTAGTCAAATTAGTCCACGTTTATTCACCACACATTTACCTGTTCGGCTAGTTTGTTAGCTCGGCTGTAAACTCACTAGCCAGCTAACATTAGCATGTAGTGACATAAATATAAATTACACAAGCTAACAGTTACTTTAATGATTTAGGACCAAATGTAAAGCACGTCTGCATGGTAAATCATGTTGATATGATCCCCTTAACACTGTTTATTAGTTAAACTAGTCCAACACACATGTATTTGTTCGGCTAGTATGCTAGCTAACGTGGTGAATGGGGATGGAAAGTGTGTTAGCATTAGTTAGCCCGTTTTGTCTGATAGAAACCCAGTGAATCAGCGTAAAAAATAGTTTAAAATGAAGTGAAGAAAGTGAAATCGTGCAACCGAAGGACGGGTTGTTTGTGCCACAAGCAGGCCGGGAAACGGCACCGATTTAGCCGACAACACAGTCAGAAAAAGGCGGTTAGCTCATCTTCCAAAGCGCACTTTCTCCACGTTAAAGTTAACCACAGGAGAGGGTTTGACTCCCACACTTCATTTTTACCTTCCAGTTGCTGTATAATCTCTTGATCCGGCGGTAGTAAGCATCTTTGTCCAGGTTTACCGCCATGGTTGAGTTGCAAACTCCAGCTCCCGGCTTCGCTTCTCAGCAGGCCGGATGAGGATGATCAACTAACAATAACGCACTTTTCTTTTTCCACGCCTGCACAGATCCACGCAACACTATGCTGCTGCTGCTGGTGCTTCCCTTGTATTCTTTTTTTTGTGTACGACCAGAGGCCTTTTCCTCTAAAGAATTATGTAAAAAAAATTAAAAAAGCACAACGCAAAAACCCTTATTAGTCGATAAAAATACGCAAAATTATTAAAATATAATGTATTTTGGCGATTTGCCACACTCACAACCATGCACACACACCAATCTGTATAATTAACTCCTCCGCCCCCCCCTCCTGCTTTCCCTTCCTCCAGTTCTTCCTCTCCCTCCCCCTTCGACTATTCACATATCAATTATAATAAACAAACGTTATTTAAAACCCTAAATGCACAACATGCCACCTTTCACTGGCTCCTTTCTGAAATGTTAAAGTGAAAAAGCAAAAGTCTAAATGCCTGGGGAATTCCTGACATCTTGTTTTGTTACTTTGAGGTTTTATTTGATGAAATGTGGCGCATGTTAGAGTTTTTTGTAGCTCCGCACTGAGAAGCAGCGCCCCCTGTCTGGTGTTGACCACGCTGCTTTTTCCCGCCATGGTGGATTTTCCCGCCATCGTCATCAAACACTTTCTCGTGACGTTAATCTCGCGATAGAAACTGCAATGATGATAAACACACACTCGCTTTTTCTGCCTTTTTTTTGTGTTATCAAAAAACATATTGATGAAAATGTATTCGGTATGCTATACATTTGAATTCTCAACTCTACGTTTTTTAGTCTAGTAAAACATATTGATTTGTATTCATTATTATAATTTATGTTAGAAAATATTGAATGTATCACAGATTTGAACATAAATGCAACTAGAGCTGTAGTTGAAGGGCCAAAATATGCATCACCACATGTATAATAAAACATCAAATATTGTATTTGCACAATCAAAAACATTTACAGGATTTCTACAACTAAACAGACCAAATTAATGAATTTCATCTCACAGGGTACAGTTTTTTTCATATTAAACATTCTTCTTGTCAAGTCTGTACTTCAAATACACAATAGATTATCCTTTGGAAGTTTGTTCTACTGCTTTATATTGAGTGTAAAGTCCTTATTTTATTATCCGTTATTCCCACTGCCGTATTTCCGACAGTGATTTGTCTGCTGGGGAGCTGTTTATGAACAGTATTGATCACAGAAATAAACATTACATTTGAAACCTGAGCCTGATTTCTCGATTATTCATTGATTTAATTGCTCTGCTCTTTTGAATTTCATGTTTTATTTGTTGTCCTTCTCTTGTGTCATCTTCCTGGTGGTGGAGTTTTGCACTCGGATGGCGCACCAGGCCATGAACTCATTACTGTGGAACAGAAAATATTCTTTTTACATGACATGCTGTATGCAGGGTGTAATGTAAATATAACATTTACAAAATAATTGTTATTGCAGCCCTAGTTGTTATTACACAGATACAGACGTTTTCATCTTCACCAAATCCAAACACCTGCTAAATGGCTGCCAACAAGTTATTTAAGGATTTTAAAGCTTCTAGGTTCCCATGGCTGAACACAAAAACAACTTGCAATAAAACAACACATCTACAGGAACTCACTACTTTAATGAGAAACTCGATGACAATCAAACATAATTTCACCAAACTCCAGATTTGGTTTGCATGTTGCAAGTGTACACACCTGCAGTGTGTGGCGACACACTCGTTGCTGCAGTACTCGTAGTCCCAGTCTTTGCTCTCTACTGCGGGGTTGGTGCAGCCAGATCGCACACAAATGTTAAAGCTGGCGATGGGAGTCAAACTCTGGACAGGGGCAACGTTCACCTCAACCTCCATCTGCGAGACAAAATTGAACAGTTCACTCCAGAGCAATTAAAGGTCCACTATTATACTGTTTTTCATTACTTTATTATAGGTCTAAGATATATAAAAAACATGTCTCTGAAGTGTTTGGCTCGAACAGATCATTGCAGCATCCCATAATCCCCTCTGTTTCAGCCCTGTTTCCAAAGTGCTGATAGTCTGTTACTTTAGATGAAAATAAGGAGCCCCTCCCCACGCCCCTCTGTAGGAGGAGATTCAGGTGATAAGGTGGGGGGGGGGGGGTTACCTTAGTTGCTGATTGGCTAATGGTTACACAAGCCAATACATCGTTATGACATCATAAAGTGGCCAAAATCTGATCGGCTCATTTTCAGACTGGTTTTTATATAAATGGATCAGGACAAAAAGAGAGAGAATCTTTTTTCCTGAAACTTTCAGAATCTCTTTCCACAGAGGGGACACATGTTGATGTAGAAGAGACAGAAAAAGGGGATTTTGCATAATAGGTGACCTTTAAGACATTTAATGCAACAGTTATATGATCGGGAAGATAGAAACAAGCATGTTCAGTTTCTGCTGCTGAGCTTACCCCGTCTTCTGCCTCCACTACCGCCTCTCCAGCCAACTGTCCAACCTGGACAGTCAAACCCAAAGTAGGCGATTCACTTGCTGAGGTCTCAATGATTGGCTGCTTCGACATTGGGACCACCTTGATCTGCAGCGGAGTCAGAATAGTGGAAGTGGAAACTTGTGGTTCTGCCTGCAGAGATGGAGGCGCCTGAACGTGCATCATCTGCTGCACCTTCGACTTAAGAGGGTTGCTCTTCATTATCCGATGTGGCGGCAGTTGGCTTGGCGAGGCGCCGGTCATCCACACAACACCTGAAGGAAGCTTCATCTGCTTAATGATGATCTTGGTGATAGTTGGGTGGTTCGGCAAAGGGGTGGTAAAGGGTGGAGGTTGGGGTTTGATAGCCCCAGTTCGTGAGCGCGTTGTGACCTGAGGCATGTCTAGGATGATGTTGGAGGTGCAGATGTTGGTGATGGTGTTCTCCTCAGGGTTGGATTGCTGGGGCCTGGTGGTCTGGTCGATGTGGTTGGAGGCTGATGTTGCTATGAAAGTTGAAGATGCTGTAGGTGGAGATGAGGGGGTGACTTCAGTAGGGACCTGATGAGAGGATGGATGGAGAGGACACAACATCACGCAACCATTAACAACCAAGCTAACACACTAACCGAACAGATAAACGTGTGGTGGACTCATTTGACTGATAAACATTGGTAAGAGTATCAGCAAAACGTAATAAGTGCTTGATATTTGGTCCTCAATCATTACAGTCACTGGACTGACTGACTTACTTGCTCTTGACTCATACTCAACAGAGAATGCTCTAACTTGAACGCTTCTTTAACTCCAACTAAATGACTCATGAGTGCCTCAGGGTCCCATCCTGGGTCCCCTCCTCTTTTCTCCGTAAACTAATTATCATGGCTTTTCATAACACGGCTACACAGATGACATTGAAATGATTCTGTCTATTCCCCGGTCTAAAACCCAGTTGGCTGCATGAATCTCTGCTTGTCTGGCTGACATCTATCAGTGAATGTCTGCAGACCACTTGGAGCTCAACCTTGACAACATCTAATTGCAATGGAGTCATGGAGAAAAAGGTTGTTGACGAATATATCAAGTCATAGTTTTTGTAAACAAAATACTTGCACCTCACCTGAGAAATCTGTCCGGCTCTGTACTCAGTCAACGCCTTCAAGTAATCCTTCTTTGCTGCTTCGTTTTTCCTCTTGTAAACCTGAACAAAGGGGGAAATTATGCACTGAAATTAGGCATGCAATTAATCTTTACAAATGTTATTTGGTCTGCCACAAATACTTTTAAAGACATCTTTTATACTTTCAGGTCAGAACCTATGTCCATTGATCCTGAACTGAAGCACACAGTTGGAGGTACAGTCATATGTTCACAGTGAATATAAATGACCCCTTCAACAGCTGGACTGATGGGTAAAGTTAAACAGCTATGAGCACAATTGAAGTTGAAGGAGTTTCCCCCTCTCACCTGTTTCTGCTCCTCCCCCAGACTGTCCCACATGGACGCCACTATCTTTGAAACTTCTCCAAAGGTAGCTTTGGGGTTTTGTCCTTTGATAGCGGCCCGAGAGTCCTTGAAGAAAAGAGTGTAGGCCGACACAGGTTTCCAAGGCTCGTTGGGGTCTTTCTTCTTCTTCATCTTCCTCTTCTTTCGTCCTGCGCCTCCTTTCCGCCCGACAATTGAAGTGATGCTAGATATGGGGGCAGAGAGTGGGGACCCGGAAAAGGATGGGTCGAGGGAAAATACTCCAGGAGAGACAGTGCTAGAAACCAGAGACTCAACCAGGAGGCTCTGATCGGACAGGGGGAACAATGCATATTAGAAGCAGTTTTCACAAATAATTTCCTTTATTTAACCCTTCCAGATATTGATTGGTGTAGCATTTACACATAATTTAGTGTAGTATGTGGTGGGTATAGATCAGTTCAGTTTGTTGATTACATTACATTACATGCCATTTGTTAGACGCTTTTATCCAAAGCGACTTACATACATTCAGTACTGAGGACAATCCCCACAGGAGCAATTTGGGGTGAAGTGTCTCAGGGACACAACGACATGCTGACTGCAGTGGGACTTGAACTTGCTACCCCCTGATTCGAAGTCCCGCACTCTATCCACTGAGCCACAGCCGCCCCTGATTGTTATGTATACCTCAACCTGGTCTACCTAAAGACTGCAGATGGAAATTGGCTATCAGCTCAAATCTGGCATAATTAATCTCTCCTCTTTTCTGAGATTAATGTATTTGTATGCATGGTCCTTGTTGAAATAATTACATAATAATATTCAACCATTATCAGATTATCAATTTGCTTGGGTTAAGTGATTATTAAAAAAAAGGGTTTTAAAACTCACCGTTGGACAGTCATCCGTGTCGTCATTCTGGAGCGAGTTGTTGGGCGATGCCGTGTCCGACAGAGGGTTTTGGTGCGACTGTGGATTAATGTTCCAGACTCCTAAACCAATCCCCAGTTGGGATCTGAGGTCTGACACGTCTATAGTGGTCAGCTGGACGTCACCACCCAACGGGACATCGATGTTGACCGCGGACGAACTGCTGAACTGAGAGCCGATGGGATTAAGTGTTTGACTAAATGTGTCCGTACACCTTTCCATTTCCAGTGAAGACCCCAACAAAGCATTTCTCTCTGACTGGTTGACGACCCCCAGACTCTCCATTTCCTGAGAGAGGGTGTCAAGAAATGTGGAAGTGAACAAGGCGTCAATTTCTTCCATCATGGCGGTCCTCAATGTGTTCAGTTCTTCATATACTTATGAATACTTCTACGTCTCGTTTAGGCATTGGCTTAAATCACTACAGATGGTTTTTTTGTATTTGTCTAATAAGGTCAGGATGGTCTTGACCGTTCCAAAACTGCTAACTCGTGTTTACCTTTTGAGTTCAACATTTGGTGTTTACTCTAGGCGTCCCAAGTCCGACTCTAAATATTGAAAGGGTTAGACATAGATCCTTATTAGAATACATAATATAATAGTTCCCATTTCTGTTATGCCAATCAATACAGTTATTCCTAATTCTGCTAGAACCACTTGCCATTTACCCAGCTATTATGCAAAATCCTCTTCTTCATGTCTCTTCTACATCAACATGTGTCCCCTCTGTGGAAAGAGATTCTGAAGGTTTCAGGAAAAAAGACCCCCTCTCTTTTTGTCCTGATCCATTTATATAAAAACCTGTCTGAAAATGAGCTGATCAGATTTTGGCCACTTTATGTCATAACGATGTTTTGTCTTGTGTAACCATTAGCCAATCAGTAACCAAGGTAACCCCCCCCCCCCCCCCCCACCTTATCACCTGAATCTCCTCCTAGAGCACCATTGAGTTCTTTGTAACGAAATATCTCCCAGAGGGGCGTGGGGAGGGGCTCCTTATTTTCATCTAAAGTAACACACAGAGAATCAGCACTTTTGAAACAGGGCTGAAACAGAGGGGATTATGGGTAATGCTGCAATGATCTGTTTGGTGTTTGGAGCCAAACACTTCGGAGACATGTTTTGTATATATCTGAGACCTGTAATATATTGATGAAAAACAGTATAATAGGGGACCTTTAACGTAGGGGTTCTACTTATGTCCGAAGACCCTTTCGAATAGTTGATCAGCAGGCTGGAGGAGTGGTTGTCCAACTTTGTCTTGCAATTTCTCTGTAGCCAGATATCCTTAAGTAAATTAGAAATCTGTTCCCAGTTGTTTTTATATTGCCTGTAGGGAGAAGAGAAGCAGGCATGGCTTGACCTGTTAGCATGTAATGAGCATTAGGTGCTATTTCTGTTAGCTATCTGTATGTAAGTATCTACAGTATCAGTGCTATCTTCTGTTCTGTTAGGTGTGGTTACATATCTTTGTGAGTTTTGCCTTTATCTGTCCATTCACTCTTAAGCATTCCTTAACACAACCTCGCCTGTCTTATTCCTAAATTATTGTAGGTCCCCTTTAAAGTTTTTTCAAATAACTCTCTTCCATTTTCTGAATTTACCATAAGTTTACCAAAATACATCTTTGCATAAGAACACAACTAAATGCAAATCCAGCTGTCATCCTGAAACCAAAAAGTGCATCACCAGGAGTATATTAAAACATAAAATATTTTTTATTTCATTATTAAAAACATTTCCAGGATATCTACAATAAACCAGAACAGATTTCTGCATTTTCATCCGACTGGAAACAGTTTTATTTTTCTGGAAGCAACCAGAATTATTCAGACCTGAAATCAGATTTCTTAAATTAAACACTGTAATGTTAAAAAGTAAAGCGTCTTCATGTAGTATTCCCTTTCCCCCTTACAGTAGCGTTGTCAGAGCTGGTGAGTTTATTTCAATCCAAGATTCAATTAAATGTCACCGCAAATGATTCTCATCAAACCCAATTTGCACCACAAAAAGATCTCTTTTAGGGTATTGCAAAAAGAAAATGCGAAATTTACATTTTCTACTGGATTTTAGCACCTGTTTAAAGTTTGAATAGACACCGTTCACATGATTGTAGTTTATTTCCCTCAAAGGGTGGCTTATTAAAAAGTGACAAACTCGCAGTGGCAGATTTATTTCCACGTTGTCACAAAATCACTAACATGTAACCCTTTGAATGGCTCGAAATGACATTTAAATATTGTTTGTGCTTTGCCCAGTTGTTGCTGGTTTGTGCGTAAAACCAGTAACGTAACGACTCGGCGCCAAAAGCACATCACCGAAGACCAACGAAACATTTAGATTACATTCACTTCAGTTGATCCTCAATGTAACAGTAAAGGGAAGAGCGTACACATATGAAGTGGAAGTCTGTAGAATAATACAATTAAACTCAAAAATTCATGATTTCCTTTCTGTACTTTTTTCTCCTTTCAAAACAATTAATAACATTATTTCATATAAAACCTTTTCTATATCAAGTCCATACTTGAGATTCACAATAGATGATGAATTGGAAGTTTCTTCTACTTCTGCTTTCTCTTCAGCGTAACGTCCTTATTGTGATCCGACATTCCCACTGCAGTGTTTCCAAGAGTTGCTTTGTGTCGATTACAGTAAAGTATATTGTAGTGATTTTACGAATACTTTCCTCTGTGACAGAACCCCTTTTGGTTCTCGTCGTCAATGAGGCATGATAAAACAGACCATTATGTGCCGATACCTGAGCCTGATCATTCATTCATTTCATCTCTCGGCTATTTTGCATTTCATGTGTTATTCTTTGTCCTTTTCTCTCCGTGTATCACTTCTCTTCAGTCAGATCTGTCCTCTCCTTATGCGACGGTGGTGGAGTTTTGCCCTCGGATGGCGCACCAGGCCATGAACACATCTCTGTGGAGGAGAGAAGAAGAAATTAAATACATTTCTGACATATATGCACGGTGTCAATGTCTGGAAAAGAGGGAGACTTCGTAACTAGAGTTGAAAACTGTTAAGAGTATTGTGGCGCTGGGGTAACATACAGAGATGTAAGTAGGACATTTACACAAAAAACAACAACTTTTCTGATATTTTCTGAGATCAAAAGTGATACAATTCCAAAAATAATCTCTTGGTTAAACTATCAAAACTTGGAATTGGATTTCGCAATGAGGAAATAGTTGTTATTTCAGACTTTGACTAGACATTGCCATAAATTGGGCCTATTCAGACAGTTTTTCACCCAAATTAATGACTGAATATCTCACAATATATCAGTTCTTTCTCATAAAATGTGAGTTTTTTATTTTTATTTATGACTAATCTTTTTCTTGAAATAATAACCCCCTCCCCTGGAATGTATCAGTTAGTAATAAAGCCAGGGATTTCTATTTTACATGACACAGAATAAATACATCGGATACTAATATGCATTGTAGTGTAAGATGGCTGCCGTGTCTTTGGCTCCTCTCCGACTATTTCAATTGTATTTGTATTTACTTGCACTATTTTATCTGTCTTATTTGTTCTATATATATATATATATATATATATATATATATATATATATATATATATATTATATATATATATATATATATATATATATATATATATATAATATATAATACTATATATATATATATATCTATATATATATATTATATATACTATATATATATATATACTATATATATATATATATATATATATATATATATCTATATATATGTTGCACTGTTGGAGGAGCCTGTGACCTAAGTATTTAATTGCCATATCTACACTGTAGCTAATGTGCAAATGACAATAAAGCCTTGATTTGAATTAGAGATGGGGAATTACGGCTCTTTGAAGGGATCCGTTCAAAAGAGCCGTTTTTTTTTTTAAGGGGGCGGGGCCAAAATAATCACCAGGATAATGATTGACTGTATTTCCAGAAATCTACTTTTACTCACAGAAAAATGTATAACTTGCTACATCTCTCAGCCAGCCAAACGACTACTCAAGCAGCACGCGTTATGCCATCATCATCTATGGCTAATGTGCATTCAGGAAAGCAAGTTCCCGTAAAGGCGAGTGGATTTATGGCAGGCAAGCGAACCAACGATAAAAAGATCGGCTCTCACCAAGTACGACTCGGTTCCCTTGGTTCGTACCAAAGAGCCGTTCAAAAGAATCGGATCGTTCGCGAACATAACAATCACTGATTTGCATGTGAAGGCTCAGATGTAGTGCACACACACCTGCAGTGCGTGGCGACACACTCGTTGCTGCAGTACTCGAAGTCCCAGTCTTTGTTCTCCACGGCGGGCTTCGTGCAGCCGGCGCGAACACAGAGGTTACGGCTGGAGGGGGGGGGCACACTCGGGACCGTGGCTACGTTCACTTCCACCTCCATCTGAAAAAAGATGTACATATCAAATAAAAACAATCAATCAAAGTTTATTTGTAAAGACCAATATCACACATGTTTCATTTGTCTCGGGGGGCTTTACAGTTTATACAGAATATGACACCCTTCTGTCCTCTGACCCTCACGCTGGACAAGGAAAGACTTCCAATGAAACCCCAAAGTTAACGGGAGAATAAATGAAGAAACCTCAGGGACGGACAGACGTGCATTAGATGTCGTGTGTAAATTAAAAAGATAATACATGATGGCTGAGATCTATGGGGAGGCACCAATGACTTTATGTATTATTTTATTCATTTTCTATATCTATGTATGTGTGTATATACTGTATATGTGTGTTTATATATATACTGTATGTATAGGGAATATATATATTTTTGTGTTGCTGAACTCACCCCTTCCTCCGCCACTTCCTCTCCTTCCTCTCCCTCCGTCATCAAATCATCCCCAATCTGCCCCATCTCCTCCGTCAGACCCGAAAACGACGGCGATTCCCCCGCCGACGTCACGATGATCGGCTGCTTCGGCACCACCTTGATCTGCAGCGGAGGAGGAGCTGAGGCTCGAGGTTTGGCCTGAAGAGGTGGAGGCGGCTGGGCGTGAAGCTGCAGCCGGGGGGGCGGGGGGGCGCTCTGCATCTGCTGGAGGGGGGGCGGCTGGCGGGGGGCCGTGGTCGACGTCAAAACCACACCTGAAGGCCCATGGAGAGAGAGTAAGACTTTGTTTCAAATATCCCCTATTATAATGTTTTTCATCAATATATCACAGGTCTCAGATATATACAGAGCATGTCTCTGATTGGCTGAAACACCAAACAGATCATTGCAGCATTACCCATAATCCCCTCTGTTTCAGCCCTGTTTCCAAAGTGCTGATTCTCTGTCTGTTACTTTAGATGAAAATAAGGAGCCCCTCCCCACGCCCCTCTGAGAGAGATTTGGTTACAAAGAACACAATGGTGCTCTAGGAGGAGATTCAGGTGATAAGGTGGGGGGGGGTTACCTTGGTTGGTGATTGGCTAATGGTTACTCAAGCCAAAAAATCGTTATGACATCATAAAGTGGCCAAAATCTGATCAGCTCATTTTCAGACAGGTTTTTATAGAAATGGATCAAAAAGAGAGAGAATCTTTGTTCCTGAAACTTTCAGAGTCTCTTTACACAGAGGGGACACATGTTGATGAAGAAGAGACATGAAGAAGAGGGGACACATGCTGATGTAGAAGAGACATGAAGAAGAGGGGACACATGGTGATGTAGAAGAGACATGAAGAAGAGGGGACACATGCTGATGTAGAAGAGACATGAAGAAGAGGGGACACATGTTGATGTAGAAGAGACATGAAGAAGAGGGGACACATGTTGATGTAGAAGAGACGTGAAGAAGAGGGGACACATGTTGATGTAGAAGAGACGTGAAGAAGAGGGGACACATGTTGATGTAGAAGAGACATGAGGAAGAGGGGACACATGTTGATGTAGAAGAGACATGAAGAAGAGGGGACACATGTTGATGTAGAAGAGACATGAAGAAGAGGGGACACATGTTGATGAAGAAGAGACATGAAGAAGAGGGGACACATGTTGATGTAGAAGAGACGTGAAGAAGAGGGGACACATGTTGATGTAGAAGAGACGTGAAGAAGAGGGGACACATGTTGATGTAGAAGAGACGTGAAGAAGAGGGGGACACATGTTGATGTAGAAGAGACGTGAAGAAGAGGGGACACATGTTGATGTAGAAGAGACATGAGGAAGAGGGGACACATGTTGATGTAGAAGAGACATGAAGAAGAGGGGACACATGTTGATGTAGAAGAGACATGAAGAAGAGGGGACACATGTTGATGTAGAAGAGACATGAAGAAGAGGGGACACATGTTGATGTAGAAGAGACATGAAGAAGAGGGGACACATGTTGATGTAGAAGAGACATGAAGAAGTGGATTTTGCACAATAGGTGACCTTTAAGATGTACAATTACTATGTCTTAAAAAAACACTGTGTAATTGTTTGCTGCCAAATGTCAATACAAAATATATATTACAAAAAGAAACCACACCTGAAGGAAGCTGCAGCTGCTTGATGATGATCTTAGTGACGGTGGGGGGGTTGGGCAGAGGGGGCGTAGGGGCTCGAGGAGGCGGAGGTTTCGTAGCACCGGTTCGAGAGCGCGTGGTGACCTGAGGGAGGTCCAGGATGATGTTGGAGGTGCAGATGTTGGTGATGGTGTTCTCCTCCGGGTTGTAATGCTGCGAGCGGGTGTTGCGGGCGGCCAGGCTGGAAGCTGCTGTTGCCATGGCGGCGGCGGAGAGAGACACTGTAGGTGGAGGTGATGGAGGCGATGAGGAGGTGTCCATGACTTCAATAGGAGACTAAAGAGAGGACGGTTAAGGTTAAGGTTAATTTATTTGTATAGCACATTTTAACACAGAGGCAATTCAAAGTGGGACATTTGAAGGCATTTATAAAAACTAATGGCTGTATTTTTGCTGACATTTAAAAACAGAACATATGCCGCTGCAAAATAACTTCTCACCCTAATGAGGATTACAGAATCTTGGATATGATGTGGATAAATTGCCGAATAATGTACCAACCAAAAACCAATTACATGCTAATGAAGAGGCTATCATTATCTTTAAAACGTTTACTGTGTTTTCATCTTCAGGGTCTATTTCTTTTGTTTCCTTTCTTGTCTCTTAAATACATTTTTGTAAAGCTCCAACCAAGTTAGAATCATGCTTAAACAGGTTTACTACATTTTTCATGCGACTAGTGTTAGCAATTTGTTATGTAGTCTAACTTAGGCTGGAGCCACATGAGAACGGTAACGCAAACGAACCGAAATCGTTATCAAAAAAGTCTTCAGTCCACACGCAATAGGCACCAGAAACGTGTCCTTCCACGCGAGACCGCTCGACCCGCTGGAGACGCTGTAGTACATATGCCGGGCCTGTAAGTGGCGCTGTACTTCCGCCAACAAAATACACCAAAAGCAGCGAAGAAGACTTCCGAGCATGGTTTCCATGGTTGCCCTTCAGTTTATTCTCCGCGGTGGATTTAGCAGCAGAGGTGGGGAGAGGCAGGGCTCTTTTATCTCTGATCTCTCTCTCCTGTCCGATTAGTCTTCACTCACGTTTATGTCCATATCGATCAGATCTAGCTAGTTCTAGCTAATGATATGCAGGGTTCATACACTTTTTCACCAATGATTTGCAATGACTTTCTCCATGACCTTTACCTAATTTTCCATGACCAAAGAAAGTACTCTTCTCAGCGGTACCACTGAAAATTGATTATTTTAACATGAAACAGGAAAATAAGGTCTGCATATGAAAACATGTTGTGCCTATCTAAAACAAATCAAATAGTAGGCTTACTAGCTTCTACACGCTGAAGCAACTCAAATCTCTCACCAGCAAAACACCTCGTCAGTTAAATGCCATTTTACGTTTCATTACTATACCATACAGTATTTATTATCGTTATAGTATTACTATTTTGGCGATTAGATAAAATATAAATTATATTTGATGCAACTTTAGTTAAATTCCATGACTTTTCCAGGGCCTGGAATTAGCATTTTGAATTTCCCCTGACTTTTCCAGGTTTTTAATGACGTAAGAACCCTGTATATGACTGCCTGAGTGTCAAAGGACACCTAAACAATAAGCGACATTTTGACCGGAGAATTTTAGATTTCGGCTAAAGGAAACTCTGCCGTGCGGGGGGGTCTGGGGGGGGGGGGGGGGGTCTGCTGGAGGCACCTGCTGGGTGCACTGTGCCGCGAGATACCGGGACCTGGCTCGAAACACTCGGAAAACTGTTGTTGTTGTTGTTGGCGAAACACATCAGCAATGACGCGGGTGACACGGGGTGAGCAGGAGAGGTGGGGAGAGGCGGGGCTATTGCGTCATCGTTATCAGAAAATGATCGTATAGGGCGTAGACACGGAGCCGTTTGGCCCCCCAGAGCGTTTCGTCCGCAGATCTACCCACCTTGGGACCCGTTATCGTTATCTGCGTTTCCCTGTCGGCCTCGTGTGGCCGAACCGTCTATCTGATAAGAGAACTGTTGCGGATACGACCGTTACCGTTCCCGTGTGGCTCCAGCCTTAGTGCTGTGTCAAATGTCCTTTCTGATTGTTTCAACTTAGTAAAAAGGTTGTTGATGACCACATTTCGTTTTTTAACGAAATACTCACCTGAGAAATCTGTCCGGATCTGTACTCGGCCAGCGCCTTCAAGTAATCCTTCTTTGCCGCTTCGTTTTTCCTCTTGTAAACCTGAAATAAATGGGAAATAATGCACCAAAATGTAGTATGTGTTTGAATGTTACCACGTGTTATTTAGCCAACGTCTGATTTCATACAACTTGATAAAAGAGAAGACTTTTTGTACATTATTCCTGAATTAGAAACCCCACTTTCACAGTTAGAATTTGACCAACGAAAGAGGATTGGACTGATGGGTTAATGAAATATCTATAAGCATGATTTAAAGTTTCCCCCTCTCACCTGTTTCTGCTCCTCCCCCAGACTGTCCCACATGGACGCCACTATCTTAGAGACTTCTCCAAAGGTAGCGTTGGGGTTTTGTCCTTTGATAGCGGCCTGAGTGTCCTTGAAGAACAGAGCGTAGGCCGACACAGGTTTCTGAGGCTCGTTGGGGTCTTTCTTCTTCTTCCCCTTCTTCCCTCCGGCGCCTCCTTTCCTCCCGACTGCCGGAGAGATGATGGAGCTCGGGGCGGACAGCGGGGAGTCGGACATCGACGGGTCGAGAGAGATAACTCCGGGAGAAACAGCCAGAGAGACCGGAGACTCCACCAGGGCGCTCTGATAGGAGGGGACAGGAACAATGGCGGATATCAGTAATGATCTTAAGTCATAAGAAGCGTCTGTCTTCTAAGAAATAGACATTGGCATCCTTGGAAATTTAACCTAAAAATACTTGTTTCATGTTCTTTAAAAGCCTGTACATGTTACGCCCCGTTTTGATGGAGAGAAATTAGAACAAGAGTAAAAATGGCGTTTCCTCAGCGATCACAAAAATAGTGCAAAATATGTAAACAAGAAAACCTCCTGCAGTACAACTTATTAACAATTGTTAATTATTTTTCCCAAAGATTTTGAATATTTCTATATATATATATATATATATTTGTATTTTTTGTATTCGGGATTGTGGGAAACGACATTTCGATCTCTCTACCTGTGCACACAAACTGAAAGGTTGACAATAAAGTTGACTTTGACTTGATAAAAAAGATTTCTAATACTTATAACAGTATTTATGAAGCTTCTTCTGTACACCTCTATAATCACCGTCACCACAAATTAGCTTAACAACTGTACACATGTTTAAAAGTCACTAAAGGGCATCAAACGATACATACAAATCAGCAGAATACACATTAAAGGTCCCCTATTATACTGTTTATCATCAATATATTATAGGTCTCAGATATATACAGAACATGTCTCTGATTGGCTGAAACCCCAAACAGATCATTGCAGCATTACCCATAATCCCCTCTGTTTCAGCCCTGTTTCCAAAGAGCTGATTCTCTGTCTGTTACTTTAGATGAAAATAAGGAGCCCCTCCCCACGCCCCTCTGAGAGAGATTTGGTTACAAAGAACTCAATGGTGCTCTAGGAGGAGATTCAGGTGATAAGGGGGGGGGGGGGGGGGGGGGGGGTTACCTTGGTTGGTGATTGGCTAATGGTTACACAAGCCAAAACATCATTATGACATCATAAAGTGGCCAAAATCTGATCAGCTCATTTTCAGACAGGTTTTTATAGAAATGGATCAGGAGAAAGAGAGAGAGAATCTTTGTTGATGTAGAAGAGACATGAAGAAGAGGGGACACATGTTGATGTAGAGGAGACATGAAGAAGAGGGGACACATGTTGATGTAGAAGAGACATGAAGAAGAGGGGACACATGTTGATGTAGAAGAGACTGAAGAAGAGGGACACATGTGATGTAGAAGAGACATGAAGAAGAGGGGACACATGGTGATGTAGAAGAGACATGACGAAGAGGGGACACATGTTGATGTAGAAGAGACATGAAGCAGAGGGGACACATGTTGATGTAGAAGAGACATGACGAAGAGGGGACACATGTTGATGTAGAAGAGACATGAAGAAGAGGGGACACATGTTGATGTGGAAGAGACATGAAGAAGAGGGGACACATGTTGATGTAGAAGAGACATGAAGAAGAGGGGACACATGTTGATGTAGAAGAGACATGAAGAAGAGGGGACACATGTTGAGAGGGGACACATGTTGATGTAGAAGAGACCATAAGAAGTGGATTTTGATAATAGGTAACCTTTAAGATGTAACACATCGACACACATATAGCATAAAGTCAACAGGAAAATGGGCGGTGCGATCGTGCGGCTGTCCTGTGTTGTCTTATCACACATCACACCCACAGACACACACACACACCAACACACACACACACACCACACAACACACACACACACACACACACACACACACTCACACACCACACCCACAACCAACACACACACACACACACACACAACACCACACACACACACACACCCACACCACACACACACACCACACACACCCACACAACACACCACACACACACACACACACCACACAGTACGACACACACACACACACACACACACTACACACACACACCACACACACACACACACACACACACCACACACACACACACACACACACACCACACACACACACACACAACACACACACACACACACACACACACACACCTCACCTGGTAGCGGGAAACTCATGTAACAGTGCTGAGTCCTAACGGCAGGGGGTCGACTCCACCCTGTGGCCCTGTCCTCACCCCTGTCTCCCCCTTTCCAGTCTATCTGCCCTATCTGCTCAAAAGGGGCAAAAAAACAAACAAACTACCAACACTGCACACGCAGAGATGCACATTTTCACAAGGACAGATACTGGAAAGCATTCCTCCCCTCTGGCTGGAAGAGAACTTTCTGCTCCATAGCTTCTCTAAATAACTGGACTTAAACTCCCACTTTACATTTATATTAAATGTAATATTGAATAATCAATTTCTTGCACAATAATATCCTGCATTATATTTGTTACTGGAAAGTTGTATTTCCACATGTATATTTTCCACATCCACGTATATATATATTTTTTTTTTAAACTTTGTAATGCTATTTTATTTCTACTTTGGACTCTTAATTTCTCTTATGTACATTGCTTTGTTTTTTATGCTGCTGCAATGAAAACATTTCCCAAATTGGGATCAATAAAGTACCTACCTATCTACCTACCTACCTACCTACCTACCTACCTATCTACCTACCTATCTACCTACCTACCTACCTACCTATCTATCTACCTACCTATCTACCTATCTACCTATCTATCTACCTATCTATCTACCTACCTATCTACCTACCCATCTACCTACCTACCTACCCATCTACCTACCTACCTACCCATCTACCTACCTACCTACCTACCTACCTACCTACCTATCTATCTATCTATCTACCTACCTATCTATCTATCTACCTACCTATCTATCTACCTACCTACCTACCTATCTATCTACCTATCTACCTACCTATCTATCTACCTACCTACCTATCTATCTACCTACCTATCTACCTACCTACCTATCTATCTACCTACCTACCTACCTACCTATCTATCTATCTACCTACCTATCTACCTACCTATCTACCTATCTATCTATCTACCTACCTACCTACCTATCTATCTACCTATATATCTATCTATCTATCTATTTATCTATATATATTTCCACAGTTTCAATTAATGACCGGCAGTACTGAAAACAATATGATTTTAAATTCTTATAGTGAAATTCCCTGTTCTACAGTGTGTAGGTCCAAGGCTTTTATTGTGAAAGGGCAGAATGGAGGAAGTGGATCAGGTGTGCTGCCTTCAAAGTAAAGTTTTGATTCAGACTACATTTTAATATTGCTGTTATGTTGTTTCATAAAACACCCCAAAAACATTATCAGACATATTTTTTAAAAGTGTTTATGTTAAATACAGAAAGGATATCTTTATGTCAAGATTTCAAATCGTAACACAAATATGTGTTTGAGTTCCTATAGTCCTAACAATTAAGGCATTTGTACAATATCCTGTTTGATTAAAGGTGGGGTAGGTAAGTTTGAGAAACCGGCTCGAGATACACTTTTTGTTATATTCCACAGAATGCTCTTAACATCCCGATAGCAATGAATATCTTAAGTGCTTTGACAAAAAATCTATAAAAATATCATCTGTGGAAGCCGTAATACTGTAAAAAAGCACGACCAATCATCTGAGCCGGCCCGGCTAAAATAACTGGATGGCCTACCTGCCTGTCAGCCTTCCATCTGTGCACAAACTTATCTCGTGCCCTCATTGGTCATGTGCGCGTTCGTGTGTGTTGGAGGAGGGGCTCTGTAAGGAAGTGGCACATTTTCTCCGGCTGTGTATTTTCAAATTCTAGCGCACTCAAGCTGGTTTCTTCCAAAATTACATACCCCACCTTTAATGTCAATAAACGTCCAAAATATTATAATTACCCTGATGAGCCTACATGTGATTATAGCACTTACTGAAGTCAGCCTATAATATGACTTCAATCCTGAAATAGCTAGCTCAAACCCATGTGTACGTACTAATACTGCATGTACAAATACATCACATACTACATCACAGTACTAATACATTTACTGCAAGTACTTCTGGTATATATATAGTACTTTGTTGTTCTAATATCCCATATATTAGTATTAGTAAGTATAGACGCAACTCACATCTAGGCTTCATTACTACTGTGTACGTTATGACTTAATTGGTTAAGGACTCTATTTGAGGCGTGAACATTCAGAAAAATCTACATATTTCCAGAACAATTTACTTTTCCCTGCATAAGATCTGGGTAATGGCGAAAATTGTTCAAGACGAAGAAATAATATCAACAAATATCTTGAGGTTTGGATTACTCTCACTCATTAGGACTTCCTGTTAATGGTGATTAACTATTATCGAGTTATGATTTCCCTTTTGTTAAACTGATCATGTAGATCAGGGGTGTCCAAACTACGGCCCGTGGACCATTTTGAATCGGCCCTCAGCAAATTCAAAAAGGATAATGTCCCACAAATGAAACTTGTGCTCGTCTTATATTGTACTTCTTAAATATATATGTAACAACATATTACACCGTAGTATTCATGTGTTAAAAAGCCCACTTTCCAAATCAATTCAAGTTTGAAACATGTTCTAACAAATCTTAGTTGATAAGAAAAAAGCCCAATGACTTATTTACCTAACAAGCTTGAAATATACCCTTCATATTTCTCCTTATTATAATCACTCTGAAGCTTCTGTTTTAAGAAATGAGCTGCCAACACAATAAATCAAACTCTGGAGAGCTGTGTTTTTTTCTTAAAGCATTTTCAAGTATGAAGAATAATTTACCCTACATTGGATTGACTTTTCCAACTTATAACTTAACTTATGAGGCGAAATACCTCTAGTGAGCAGCCCAGCCCTTCTTATATTTTTCTGAATGTGGCCCTCGGTGAAAAACATTTGAACCGTCCTGATGTAAATAAAGCTCACCGTCCTGAAGTCGTCCATGTCGTCGTCCTGCAGCGAGCTGGTGGGCGACGCCGTGGCCGACAGACGGTTGCCGGGCGACGGGGGGTGCTGCAACATGCTCCCGCCTCCTAAACCCAGCCCCAGTTGGGCGCTGAGCTCTGATTGGTCGATGGTGGTCAGCTGGTTGGACCCCAGCAGGCCCTGGCTCATGTCCCCCAACGGGACGTCGATGGTGACCGGGGACGAGCTGCTGAACTGAGATCCGATTGGATGCCCGAGGTCCTGAGGACGGAGACAGTGTGAGTGAATTTTAAACGTTTATTTTTCTGATAATTACATTTCAGAATCAGAAGCCATTTTATAACCAAGTACGTTTACACATACGAGGAATTGTCACAAGACACGGTTAACTATGTGATTTTATTTTGAAAAATGTATTGTATCATTCGGCGAAAGAGTACAGTTAAATAAAATATGACAAATACTAAATTACATCAGCAATACAAACCTAGAACTCTCTACCCACTCAAATCAATGACATACATACAGACATATACCACCTTTACAGCTCACTTAAAAACATGGTTCACTGAGAACCTGTACACACGCGTCTGTGTTGGATATGGCGTGTGTGTTACATGTTGTGATCATGGATGTGGCCCCTCGTTGTGTGATTGTGATGTGCTATATGTGACATGTATGTAGTAGCGTGTGTTGTTTGCATTTATTTACTAATGCTGTTGATGTATTGTGATTTTAAAAAGGTGTCCGTTATCATCTGCAACATTTACTGTTTTCTGTGACAGTTGATCAATGGGGACTGTCCACGACACTATAAACAAATAAACTAAACCAAACTAAACATTTCCCCATACTACTCACCATTCCCAGTGAGGACCCCAACAGAGCGCTCCCTCCCGATTGGTTGATGACTCCCAGACTCAGGTGCTCCAGGCCCTGAGACGGGGCGTTGAACGAAGGTGGAGCCGAACGAGGGGGTCGTCTCCTTCCACCCACGGCGTTCCCGGGAACAACCACGCTGTCGGGGGGGGCCGGAGTCCCGACAAACTCCCCGAATGGGAAACAACATCGAACGGTGATGGCGGAGTCAGGGATCCATGAGAGATGGGAGGTGATATCAAACTCGCTACATCTCGTCCGAGGCTGGGGGTGTGGAAGGTCTGGGCAGAGAAGATGGTGGAGAGAGAGAGAGAGGAGAGAGGAAGCGGAGAGGAGAGAGAGATAGAGAGAGAGAGAGGTAGAAAAGATAAGATGGAAGGAGAAAGAGAGAACACACCGTTGTGTAGAAATTGGGGGCGTAGAAGAGTCAAAATAAAACATTTGTCGGAAAAGAAAGTAAAGAGAGTGGATAAAAGAAGGAGGAGAGGATTAGTCAGGAAGTTACAGATTATTAAAAACCATATTTTGTGTCAAAGTGATCGGATCAGGAAAATGTGTACACAGTGCGACATTTCTGTGTGTGGAAGCTCGTGTCACAAAGCAAGATAAGTGGGTTAGCTTGCCATCGAAACTCAGGTGTCAGGATAGGGGAAAGAGAGGGGAAATTAAACAACAAAACAACCCCGCCCTGCATTGTAAAGCTAGCTTACTTTAGATGATCAACCAGCTAACATCCTCCAAAGGAACAGATCAGTTCAAATAAAACAAATTACAACTAAAACCTTAGTTTCAATGCCTTTAATCATATCTTTAATTAGATAGACAAAACATCACGGACAAAGAGATCACTTAAGTTCAAATAACTACTCTAATCGATGGTTGAGCTCAAAGAGGGTAAGACTCAGTTCATCTTGCTTTGTGATACAGTCCACTGATCATGCAATCCAAAAAAATAGAAAACGTCCAAATTGTGAAAGCATGCTATCAATCACAGCTGGAGAACGCTGATTATCGCAATATTTACAACAAGTTTGTGCAGAAAAACCACCACTGCAGGAAATAGGTTGACGTTTACGATTAGGGTTTAGATTTGTAGTTGTGATCGCTCTCACGTTTTTATTATTACTATTCTCTAAGGACACCCCACTGACAAAACAGCACTTAAAATATGTATAGATACTTTTCTATAACCCTGAAATGTAGCGCCCCGATGAACAAATGTCACTTTGGATGAGTCAGTTTCTGTTATTTTAAATTCCTATCCTGACATGACGTGTTTGATGATTCATCTCCCCTTACTGACATGAAAAAACAAAACAAAAAAAGGTGTCTGATTTGAAGCAGGAGGGGTAGTGAGATATATTAAAAATAATTCATACTCCACCAGCAGATCCAGCGAGGTTGAAGAGGTCAATGGGTTTAGTGGCACACTAAAAAATGTGAGTATGTCAGTGAGTTGATTTCAAATGTCATGGGTCAACTAAAACTGACTTTATATGTACTCATGGCACCAGTGACAAAACGATTCATACATACCTTATATTGTACCATTCACAAATGACACAAAAACAAATATTAACATGGTTTAATAGCTACAAAATAAAGGTTGCCAACCGCTAGATGTTACGTTAGAGATGATTAAGTGTATGCATGGTTGATGTGATGTTAACTAAGAGATTTAAAGCAGCTTAAGGTATGGTAACACTTTGTAGGTCAACAGCAGGGAGAAATACAACCTGTCAGAGGGAAATAAAAAGCCAGGTAATCCAAAATGTGAACGCCTACCTCTGAGGAGGAGAGGAAGGGATGCCCGGACCCGGAGATGGTCAGGTAGTTGTCACTGCCTCCAGGAAACTGAAACATAAAAGGTGGAAAAGTTAGAAAAAGGTGTTGAATCAGAAGGAAAAAAGACACATTCTCCAATACCATATATTTGGGATTGTGGGAAACGGTATTGTCTGTACACACAAAATGAAAGATTGACAATAAAGACTTTCACTTGACTTTGATAAGTGGTGTAATGTATTGAAGTACATTTACTACTTTATTCTGGGCTACCTGTACTATACTTGAGTGTTTTTTCTACTCCACTACAATTTGGAAACCAATATTGTACTTTTTACTCCGCTACCTTTAGGGATTATAATAATCAAAACCAAGCAACAAACACATATATCTACACTTATATATATTAATAAAAACGTTATTTATATAGCACCTTTCAAAACAGAGTAACAAAGTGCTTTCACATAAAAAAAATACACAGAGCAAGTTAATAAAAAAACAGCATCTAAAGAAGAACACAGAGTAAAACACATAGAAAATAATACAATAAAAATACATAAAATAGGGATGAATGAAAAATAAAATCACATAAAATCAATTCTAACGAAGTGGGGGGTTTAAGTGACTTAAAACAGCTGACGTTGAATGACTTCGGTTAGAAATATTCAAAGCAAATGCAAAATAAGTAGCATGCTGTTGGTTTGCATGTGGCCCCCTATCATAACATAGAGTCACCTTGTTGTCTGAGTCAAATCCATTGAAAGCCTGCGGGTCCAGAAACTCTGGGTCACCGTCGTGCTGCCCGGTACCGTCCGTTAAATCCGAATAAAAATTCAGGTCCATCTTTGTCAACTGGGCCTCATGTGTTAAACGCTATGAGGCCCCTCTTAAATCCAACAAAATCTTGCGCAATTAAATAAATCTCCTATTATTTGTTAACCTGTTTTCCAAAATGTGTAGTTAAAGTCCAAGTCAGAAAGCTGGTAATTGAGAAAAAGCGACCCCTAAATACCGAGTTTAAATCTGCTATTTCTTCTGACAGCTTTTGCACAGATGTTTGATTAGCTCACACCACTAAAACACAGCATGTGCACGACAGCAACCGTACCCAAAATAACCTGTGTGCTGTCTGTCTGGAAACGTGGCTGTTAACGCGTATTTCTTGCTGACTTGTCGCACCACGGTTTAGCTTTAGCTGCTTTTGACGCAAAGCTGCAGCGACAAGCCCGGCGCCCGATTGTCTGTGTTGTCCTCAAACGTCACATTTAACCAACAGCCGCAGAACGTGCACAGGTAGATTAAACGTCACTGTTAATGACTGCTAGATACGTCTGTAAAAAAAGGACTATGGTTATTTTAATGTGTCTGACTGACAGCGGAGGAAGGCAGACCGAATCCCCGGTTTTTGCTTCGTGTTTTTTAGGCTGCTCAATAGATCCAGAGCCACGGAGCATGGATTGAATGGAAGGTTGTCAGCGCCGGATGTTGAGCAATGCATTTTTCAAAATAAAGTGGATTACAAAGAAAAACGAGTAAATGTTGTTCGTTTTTTTTGTATAAATACGTTCAATAGGTCGATAGAATATATATATTGTTGAGTTGAATTTCTACTAGTAGGGATAGGTATTAAATATACCAATAGGAGGAGGATTTGCTTTTTATTATGAAAATACAGTCAATATATTTTGGGGAATAAACTTGACATTTCTAAATTAAAGTCAATTTTTGAGTGTATACACATTATTCTCGCGATGCATTATTATCTTATTTCTTTCCCTTATGCCTGGCACCATAATCTTACTCATCCTCATCTTCACCATCAACTAAATACTTACTAACTACTTTGTTTATATTGCATAATGGAATAAAGACACATTTGCATAGTTTGCATTAATAATAGTAGTTTTATATATTCTAACAAGTTTAACTTGAATCTTTAAATGCAAGTTTATTTTAATTGTTTAAAACTATATTCTTAATTTGCAATACAAACTCCTCCTTTGAGTTGTTTTTAATAACTTAGTAATACGTAAGGGATAATGTGCACATTATCCCTTACGTATTACATGGCCACATTCTCAACAAAGTAACGACATGACTCCCAATATTAATTGAAATGCTTTTATAGATTAAGAAAATGGTTTCATTGATTTAAAAAATAGTAGGCTATTATTGATTTAAAATGACATGCATCCGCTAAGAAAAATAGTCCTTTGTTACTGTCTGAACTAACGTAGCAACGGCAGGAACTGCTTCGATAGCGTTTTTGCGGAGCTTTTTTATTACAGATTTGAAAACATCGTTGCTTGCTTTAAAAGTAGCACATTTCATTATGTCAAACCTTGGAAAGTATCTAGATATCCCTGCCCTAATGCCAAAGTAACTGGCAACTGAATATGTTTTACTGTCTGATGTCTATATCGTTGCGTAAAAAGGAGGGTTTCTGCCCGTTACTTCTCCGCTGTTTTCTTGTCCCAGTTTGAAAAGCAAACTGCCGGCCAAACTGTATGCAGTTCAATCGACCGGACTTCTTTTCTGCAGATGTGAGCGTCCTTAACAACGGTCAATAAATCCTTGACAGCCGTCTGTCTGTTCTGGATTAACAATGTGTCACGTGTTCTGAATTGACCAATCAGAATCGAGTATTGAACTAAACCATGTAATAATAAATAATAAACTGTAAATTCTTAGCTCTAATATTCTTCCATATCAATTATGTTGTATGTTTCATACTCAAGGCTTTTATTTCTTAATTGTGTCATGTAACTGTAAGAATTGCTAATTGACAAACCATCTACTTTTGTTGTTATATATGTTATGCAAAAGTAAGATCACCTTTTTTTTTAAGGAGTCGTCTGTACCATGAGTAGAGCAAATATATATATAAAACATAAATAATTGAATGTCGTGTTTCTATATGCTAAAAATCACGTTTTGTTCAGGCTCATTTCTTTCATATCCGCTAGAGATTTTATTTTTGAAAGGCCGGACAGGAAGTGGCCTGTCACGCTGTTCTTCTTCTATTCCTAACCCACATATGTGTTAGCTTTGCTACAGTAGATTTTTGACCACCAAAGATCGTGTGTTAAAACTGAAAATCACATATGAAGACAAAGATGATTCTTTTATTAAGTCAGACATTTGGAATACCAACTACTCTTACCTCCATGCTCACCCCCGAAATCTGATAAATGTTAGTTTTTTGTCCCACTTTTTGCAAGTGAACTTCGCCCAGATTTCCTCAAATATCACAACAACAACGAACGAACCCACTTCCGGATTGTACGTACAAGTGGAAGTGACGTCATCGCGTTAAATAATTAAAGGGGGTTTCGCGTTTTCAGAATAAAAGACAGTCAATTAAGCATTAATTTATCTTTGGTGATTTTTAACAAGTGGTACATTAGTATGGAATATTTTTGAAAGTAGAGTAACAATTAAAGAATAATCTAAATCTAATCAAAAAGCATTTTAATGGCCAAACTATTCTACAATTTAGGATTTTCCAGAGAGGGTTATTTGTGAATATACGACCCTCCGGAGCGTTTGCAATTGCCGCAAATTGTTGTTTCTTACACGTGATTATAGGTCGTAATAAGCTGCTGAACAATCGACCTATTTGGTCGTTTTTTGGAGGACAGGCTGAACTAACACTTGCTGTGGAAAGCCAAACAGAACAACTTTGAAATCACACAGTTTATCAATAATCGGTGTTAAATTATGGAATGGATTTAACCCCATTGTCATCAACAATTCAAATCTAGATTTAGAAAAAAAATATTAGCAGAAAGCAGAAACTTCCCAAAAATGTCTATTCCTAAAATAAAAGAAAAGGGGAAAAACACACCGCAGTGAGTGTCTGTGCTTGTGTTTGCCATAAAAATAAAATAAATACAAATAGGATGAGAACTACTGTATTGTAAGCATACATGGAATAGTAGGAATTACTTTATTTCCCTCTTTTTTCCTTTTTATTGATTTGGTATTGCATTTCCCCTTTGCCCTGGAAATTACCTTTTTAAATCCTATCTTGAAATCTGAAGTGTGTGTGTATTGTGTGTGTGCCATAGGGCCTACATTGCAAGAACCACAAGCCCAATCCATGGTTAACCGTTTATTAAATGTCAGAAAAAAAAAATCAATTGTTTACATAAAATAAAAACATATTATAATCCTGATTATACATATTTCAACCATTATTACCCAATTTGAATTACATCTTGGAAATTAAAAACATGTGATAAAGTGAGTATATGAAATGTTTATTATAACAAAGCAGAATAGGTTAATTGTTTCTTGAACTCTACCAATGGGATACAACAAATACCTTAAGAAATGCATACAAATCCCACACTTTAAAAGAAAAATATGGCAATATTCTATATTGAATAAACAATGAGCACCAATGCTGTCTGTAGTTATCTCTCCCTGGCTATTATAAAGGAAGCAACTGAAAATAAATGATGTCCCCGGGAATTTCTCAATGACTAATCTGCATTAAGTGATACCTTCATAAATGATGTTCTACCATCTTCAGGTTGTGATTTATTTACATGTAATTGTGCCATTAAAAAACCCCAGAGAACAGTCAGTGTAGAGTAAGCTTATATAAATACACCGGTGGGTTTACAAATGTAGGCTACTATAAGGCGCAGATAAAATTAAGAAAGTCCCCTTCTCTCCTTTCATACCACTCTCCATCTCTCTTCATGGCTGTAGCCCTGTCACAAACCCTCAATCTTGTCTTTTTGGGCCCAGTTGTGATAGCAGACCAGACGATTACTGACCCAGAACCACAGATCCAGAGTGCAAGTGTAGCGCATTCCCAGCCAGACGAACTCAGTGTCGGCCATCTTGGCTCCCTCTTGGACCCATCTCTGCTGGTGACTGTCAGTGATGGAGACCAGGTCACGGTGGTTCTCTCTGCAGTAAGTCAGGGCCTCATCCCAAGTCTTACTCTCATTGATCAGGATCACTTTGTCTGGCAATGAAATTGATTAATTTTATTTTATTGGGGTAACTATTTATTGCAGAAAAACTCTCAACTGTAATAATATAGAACCTTTCTTTCAATAATCCTTGTGTTTTTTAAATAAATAAAAGTCCCCACAAAAAAGAAGTAAATTAGATACAAATGGAATTAAAACCAATGGAAAGGAAATATAAGTCCAGAAATGACGTGGCACCTTGTGTAAAAGCCAGGTTAAAAAGATGCGTCTTAAGGACAAAAACATGACTAAATGATATTCAAACTTTAAGAATATTATATTCACAGTCTATCGTAAGATTAAGGACAGAATCCAGATCATTAATTCTGTGTATATTAAACATATTTTCACAACTAAAGGATATTCAACATGAATGTAAAAATATATAACTGAAGACTTGAAATAAGAATACTTTACTTATAGACTTTTGCAAAACTCACCGTCATAGCAGAAGAAGGGTTTTTGATCTGTGCAGATGTCGGAGCTCCACTTTCCATTGGACGTAGTCATAGCACAAGTCTTTGAGGCTACATCTTCAAATGAGTCCGGATCCCAGTGTCTGAAAGAGAAATTCTTCCCATCTGACCAGCTCCAGATCTCTCTGAACAGGCCGATCCACAGGAACTTATTAATATCCTCATCGTTTAATCCTTTGACCCGTTCCTTGAATTCATCAACCCGTTCCTTGAATCCATCTGATCTGATGTGTGTGATTCCACTGACCAGGTCAGTGTGATTTTCTCTGCAGTAGCTCTGAGCCTGAAGCCAGTTCTTTGGTTCATCAATTAAAAAGTATTTCAGTTCCCCTGTTTCTGTGTGAACGAAAAGACACATTTTACTTCTGGTATAATAATGTAGATTGCATAATAAAAAAAATAGGCCTTAACTTTACCATTACAATGTATTTAAACAAGTAGAATTGTATCAAAGTTACCAATAATGTTATGTTTAAGGTGAAAAGCAAAAATGTTTTTCAATTTAATTTAACTCTACACACGTGTGTACAACACATGAGTTATCTGTCAACTATTGTTACACACTATGATATGATTTATATAGCGTTAATAATGACAGATACTCACCATTGTAGCAGATAAACTTGAGTTTTTTACAACAAAAGACATCGCTCCATTTTTTTGAGTGTGTAATCATCACACAGTTCTGAGGATCGACACCTGCATTGTTCGGCTCATCTGTATCCCATTCAGGTCCACATTCTGGATCACATTCTGTAGGATTGTACTTCTCCCCCGGCAGAGACCAGTGCCACACTTTAATATCTCCTTCATTGATGCTCCTCAGTCCAATCCAGGCGCCTGTAGTCTGTGAAGAGTTAGTCAGTCTCTCCACGTCTCTCATGTCAGACACTGTGGCCAGGTCAGTGAAATGCTCTCTGCAATAACTCTGGGCTTCATCCCAGGTCTTTCCCTCTTGAATGAAGTGGTACTCATAGAGGTCACATGTGAAGAAGGAACACTGACCTAAAAACAGAGACCATTCTGCAGTGATGGAGCTGACAGTATGACAAGCACCTGATCATTAAATCAAACTCATGAGTACTAGAATCACCCCCACCTCTAACATCGTCCCCTTCATCTTAATGGAGCTCTGAGGACACTTATTCCACTTTTTATTGTTATGAGCTGTTTCATGACTCCAGATGTGATATCAGTTACAAATCTGATAAGATGATCCACTTACCCATCAGAATCAGCACGAACTGAATCCACTGCATCTTTGCTCTGTTAGATGAAAGCAATATTGTTATTGATCATTGATAACAAGTAACATGTAATGATAAATCGTATAAATGATGTCAGTTACATTTAAATTATTTTGAACACCTGATGTTTCAGTTAAATTAACACAAACACAGACTGCACCACTCGCTTCTGTGCAGTAGTTTAATGAAGATGTAAATGTAGAGAAAATGCAAATTTAGAGCAACACCAGCAGTAACATACGGAGCCCCTAAAGCAGGGGTGTCAAACTAACTATCAGCATTATGGTTGCCCTCAAAGGGCCGGTTGTAACTTTAACACTATATAAATATACATATATCAATTAATGTTTTATATAACAATATTGCCTCTGCATTGGAGTATTATTAGTTTTGGTAATAACAACGTCTGAAAGCACATGGTTGTGCATCGATATATTGTGCACGTAAAATACGGTGGGCTCAGACTAACATTTCACTCTCTTACTGTTACATAAATCCCATGAATTTATGAAATGTAGTTAGCCTCATCATATCTCATCAAACAGAGATACTATTTTAGCTATTTTAGTGTAATATAATTTTTTGTGAATAATAAAGTTTTGTTTTTTAATATCAAGCATTATTTAAGAAGGCTATATTTTATTTGAATTCAGCAATAATATTTTAATAGTCTGAAAGCCAAGACTTTGAGAACCCCCTGTCCCAGATCCTGCTGTGTTAATATTGTGTATACTAGTGTATACTATACTATCACCTGTCGCTCACTAATTCAGGAAGCAGTGAGGGGGGGGGGGGGGGGGGGGGGCGTTGAGGAGGAACAGAGTGAGAGGTGGGATCGCGGAAGTTTTCCTCCTTCCTTTACAAACTTTACACAAGTATAAGTATTTATCGTCTGAATATAGCAAAAAGCCGTTCACTGGAGTTGCTTGTCTCGGTTGCTGAAGCAGACTTTGCTCCGTGTTTGGTGTCTCTGTGCCGCTGTAACTTCTGTTCCTTCAGCTCTGTGTCACTCACACATTGGTCACTGCCTCAGAGTGCCGCTGCTGATAGGAAGTCGCTTCAGTGCGCATGTCACAAAACGAGATGCATTTTGGGACATGTAGTTTATGGGCCGTATAATAACCGTATAATAAACTGTTTATTCTTTGCGAGCTCTCGCGGGCCTAATAAAATGAGGTCGCGGGGGCCTTGAGTTTGACACCCCTGCCCTAAAGGGACAACAACAAAAAGTCGGGATAACGAGACACTAACCCGTTATCCTGAAATGTTTCTCTCTTTTTTTTTTTTTTTCATGTCATTTTCATTTTGCACATGAAAAAGTCTAATATATCATATTCCAATCACTTGTATACAAGGGCGCCGGAAGCGGGGGGGCCAGGGGGCCATTGGCCCCCCCACTTTTCAGCCCTGCCCCACATTTTCGCAGCGGCGGATGCCGTGGAACACTGTACAAATCCCTTTTCAATAATTCCCCTCTACTCTAAAGTCGCATCTAAAACGCGATCTGATATAGCTGTGTATATTTTGTTATGTTTGATTGTTATATTCAATCTCATTAGCTACAGGCATTTTTTTAAGCTTGTAAAGCTCTCACTCGCCACTCTGCTGTTCCAGAGCGCCGCTTCCCCTCCCTCTGCTGAAATTATGAATGTAAGGCGTATAGTAATCATAGATAACACGGCAGGGTCCGTTTGTTTTTATCTGATTTCAAATAAACAAAGTCTTGGCTTTCAGAATATTAAACTTGTTTTGGCAAATTCAGATGATAAATACAACTTTGAAGCTTGTAACGGCATAATTACAAGCAACGGAGTAACTTTACGTCACTGCAGGCATAACAGCAGCCGGTGTTTCTCGTGAGTGTTTTCCCCGGGAAACAAACACAATACACACAAACGCAAAAATACACAAACACACACGTATATACACACACACCACTCGCGGGCTTCCCCTATCTTCCCTTCGTACTATTTTGATCATTTGCTCCGCTAATAATCAATCAGATCGATCCAGAGAAGAGGAAACTTTAAAGGCCTTTTTCTCAAAATGATGACTCTGTAACAGTCATTATATAATGTGACATATTTTGCTTAATATTTGGAGTAGCCTACAACAACAATCCTGATATCCAGTGGCGGCCGGTGGTCTTTTTTTTTGGTGGGGCTCTTGACGTACCGTAAGTGACCTACCCGGGGGGTCCGGGGGGGGGAAATTTTTTTCGAGAAATGACCCCTTAAATGATGACTTCTGGTGATGTTAGAGGGGGGGGGGGGAAAGGAGAAATCGAGGCTTAAAAATATGAGAAGACTGATCAATACCTCCATAATCTTCAGTGTGGAAAATATTATTTATCAACCTGAACATCTACTACTTTACCAGGAATTTGTGTTCTCAGAACTGGTCTGTTTTTTTCTTTCTTAAAACTGTTCATGTTTTATGAACCAACACCTCCACCAAGTAGCTTTACAGTGAACTGCATGTGGGATATAAAATTAATAGCATCTTTTCAGTAGCATTAATTATAAATATTTAAGTGGTTCAATACAAGTCACTACAGCATTTCAAACTGAACTGTGAATAAATGCAATTTAAAAAAAATAACCACAGCACAAAATGTCATAAATTGTGTTTTTTCTTTGTTTCTCTGAGGATTATTTACAAACAGGCTTTTTTACATATAGCAATAACTCAGAAATGAAAAAGCTACATCGTCTAACACGAACAACCAGTTAGCATAATGATAATATATGTGTTATGTACAATGTAACTGGCAAGGCTAGAGCAAGAAAGAACATAAAGTTTGCAAAAGGTTTAAATAACTTCAAGTATCTGTCTTCAGATTACGTGGAGGTTTTAGTCCGATGGGAAGCAGATTTTAAGCAACACCGAAGATAAACCAAAAATGTGGTGGAGCTGCAAACCGTGTAGTGTTGCTGGGACAGGACAGGAGCTATAACCGTTGGAAAATACATCACAGACAATGCAACAAACGTGGAGACAGAACAATCACTTCTGTGATAAATGCCCACTTATTAATAAACTTCTAACAACCATGGGAAACCTCCTCTCTACATATAAAGTGATATCCAAGCATGGGAAACAAAAGACAGCATTTACCTGTTTGCATCCAGCTAGCCAAGCCTTTTTTGTGTACCAGCTACTTGCGAAGCCTCGTGTATAAGTTTTGTCTTTTTCACGAGATTGCTGCGATATATTCAAATCGGGTTGGTCCGGTCCAAGGTCTTTAAGCAACAATTTATCTGCCAAACTTCTCCTTTCGAAAGGATTGGAGATTAGCTCTTAAACAGAATTAGGCGGGGACCGAGGTCCGGAGACTCCACCTGCACACGAAGCCATCCTCATCAACTACTGCGTCAACCGGATACGAGTCACTGCCCAAACTACTCACAGACTGCACGGGGCGCTGACATTGGCGCCCCGTGACCGTCATATTTGACGACGCTGATTGGCTGAAATTATGTTTTCGCGGCATAGTTTACACGTTACAGATAGCAACAGTCAGCTGCTAGTGGCTGCTGTTGCACTGGTTGAGGGCTCCTCTCTTAGCGCCCCAGACGAGAGAAGGTACACGGGCAAGGCCAGGCAGGAAACATGTGACTTATCAGTAACTTTAGACATCGTAACACAATTTTAAACGAGATTTTATTGTAGATTATACATTTTACTGATACCAATTATATAATATTTACCTTGTTCATTAAAAATAAAATAAAAATATATATATTTTTTAAAATATATTTTTTATTTTTATTTTTTAATATGGGAAGAGGTGGGGCGGCGCCCCTAGCGCCCCTATGGACCGGCCGCCACTGCTGATATCATTAGAAAGCTATGAATCTCCTCTTTCCAACAGTGTATACAACTCAAAATGTGTCTTCGGGTCAATGCGACTGATTTCGATGGAGCAGGTCACTTTGCATTAGGTAAAATAAAGCAGGCAGACATAACAGGAAGAATATGTAAATTTTAACCCAATCAAATAGGACATTGTCACACCATTCAAATGTATCCATGTAAATTACAACCAATAAAAAAGCTTAGATTTGTTTATTCGTTACGTTGTTTACTTTATTTGTCACGTTGTTCTGTGTGTGTCAGCCGTTAACCTAGATAGAAAAAATATATACACTTGCAAACATGTCAGAAGAACCAGCGCAGAAGAAAACTATACAGTCAATCTAAACTTAAATTAACAACTGGAAGGTCACATCCCTGACATCCACGTCTCAGGAGCCTGGACCTTCATCAATCATAGAACCAGCGAAGCCAGATAAACCCAAAAGCAGCAGCTCCTCTGCGGCCGCAGAGACTGTCAAAACCGCCGCCACCGCCGTCGTTGAACCGAAACAGGCTGGTTCCGACTGCTTGGAGGTTTGTTGTCGGGACATTGAGACGGGTAAAGCTGCAGCTAACTGACCGCTAGATTATTTGGGCAAAGAGAAAGGTACTTCAACGCAGAATGGTACAAAAACAGAGAGTGGTTAATTCTTTGCAAAACCACTAAACGGGCCTTCTGTGAAATATGCAGATGTGCTGCTGTCAAACGGCTTGTCACTTTCTCAAAATGTGGAGATGATAGCTTTGTTAATATCGGAGTTAATAACTGGAAAAAGTGCCCAAGCCTCCTGGGCAGCCACGAAAAGTCTAATTTCCACAGAGAGTGTATTAAAAAAAAGTGCGCTTTCTTCAGTTAAACACCAGTCAACATACAGCTTGTTAAACAACAGCGTATTGAGCAGGAAAAAAGAAGAGATGGAATGATGGAGCAACTGCACAATTTCCAAAATAACTCGTATCTGAGAAAAACCCCACATTAAAGAGCTTCATGCTCACCGGGAAATATGCATCACGAGACAATTAATGAACTTATAAATCTAATGTATCGGGAGTCTCTCACCACTATATTAACTGAAATTTAAAAGCAATGCAAAACATGCAGTTATTGTGCTTCCAGCAAACATCCACTGATAAATTGCGATGTTAACAACCTCATGATAACCTCATATGTTTTTAACTTAGGATCTACCAGTGGCGGCCGGTCCATAGGGGCGCTAGGGGCGCCGCCCCACCTCTTCCCATATTGAAAAAAAAAAAAATAATAATAATTCAAATTAAAATAAAAAAAAAAAAATATGTTTAAAAAAAAATATATGTTTTTATTTTTATTTTTAATGAACAAGGTAAATATTATATAATTGGTATCAGTAAAATGTATAATCTACAATAAAATCTCGTTTAAAATTGTGTTACGATGTCTAAAGTTACTGATAAGTCACATGTTTCCTGCCTGGCCTTGCCCATGCACCTTCTCTCGTCTGGGCGCTAAGAGAGGAGCCTTCAACCAGTGCAGCAGCAGCCACCAGCAGCTGACTGTTGCTATCTGTAACGTGTAAACTATGCCGCGAAAATATAATTTCAGCCAATCAGCGTCGTCAAAGATGACGGTCACCGGGCGCCAATGTCAGCGCCCAGTGCAGTCTGTGAGTAGTTTGGACAGTGACTCGTATCCGGTTGACGCAGTAGTTGATGAGGATGGCTTCGTGTGCAGGTGGAGTCTCCGGACCTCGGTCCCCGGCTAATTCTGTTCAAGAGCTAATCTCCAATCCTTTCGAAAGGAGAAGTTTGGCAGATAAATTGTTGCTTAAAGACCTTGCTACCGGACCAACCCGATTTGAATATATCGCAGCAATCTCGTGAAAAAGACAACATTTATACACGAGGCTTCACAAGTAGCTGGTACACAAGAAAGGCTTGGCTAGCTGGATGCAAACAGGTAAATGCTGTCTTTTGTTTCCCATGCTTGGATATCACTTTATATGTAGAGAGGAGGTTTCCCATGGTTGTTAGAAGTTTATTAATAAGTGGGCATTTATCACAGAAGTGATTGTTCTGTCTCCACGTTTGTTGCATTGTCTGTGATGTATTTTCCAACGGTTATAGCTCCTGTTCTGTCCCAGCAACACTACACGGTTTGCAGCTCCACCACATTTTTGGTTTATCTTCGGTGTCGCTTAAAATCTGCTTCCCATCGGACTAAAACCTCCACGTAATCTGAAGACAGATACTTGAAGTTATTTAAAACCTTTTGCAAACTTTATGTTCTTTCTTGCTCTAGCCTTGCCAGTTACATTGTACATAACACATATATTATCATTATGCTAACTGGTTGTTCGTGTTAGACGATGTAGCTTTTTCATTTCTGAGTTATTGCTATATGTAAATAAGCCTGTTTGTAAATAATCCTCAGAGAAACAAAGAAAAAAACACAATTTATGACATTTTGTGCTGTGGTTATTTTTTTTAAATTGCATTTATTCACAGTTCAGTTTGAAATGCTGTAGTGACTTGTATTGAACCACTTAAATATTTATAATTAATGCTACTGAAAAGATGCTATTAATTTTATATCTCCCATGCAGTTCACTGTAAAGCTACTTGGTGAAGGTGTTGGTTCATAAAACATGAACAGTTTTAAGAAAGAAAAAAACAGACCAGTTCTGAGAACACAAATTCCTGGTAAAGTAGTAGATGTTCAGGTTGATAAATAATATTTTCCACACTGAAGATTATGGAGGTATTGATCAGTCTTCTCATATTTTTAAGCCTCGATTTCTCCTTTCCCCCCCCCCTCTAACATCACCAGAAGTCATCATTTAAGGGGTCATTTCTCGAAAAAAATTTCCGGGGGGAAACCCCCCGGACCCCCCGGGTAGGTCACTTACGGTACGTCAAGAGCCCCACCAAAAAAAAAGACCACCGGCCGCCACTGGGATCTACCATGTGTTTAGTCTAGAAAAAGGTAAATGTGTGCATTTTATTATAAAGTTGTGTATATTTACAGACTGTTGCAAAAACTAAGAAACTTATAAACATCAGGTTTAAAACTAAAAGAGCTTTACAAAAAAGTAACACAATTAGAGATGTTTGGAGTTTTATTTTAGTTATTAATTTACATTTTTTGTCAAAGAGATGCTGATTTGATACCGTTGATACAGTTACGGCATTTCCTGTTTCTGCCGGAGAGAGGGGAGTTTGTCCCAAAGCTTGCTGCTGTATCTACTCCCTCCATCTGACAGGAGGGAGCCTCATGTGTCACTCCACGGAGTTCACTCCGTCACGGAGGGGGAGTGTGTAGGGGTAGGGTGTAGGGCGTGGTTTGGGATTGGGCCATACACACGCACTTTTTTGGCCCCCCCACTTCTAAAATGAATCCGGCGCGCCTGCTTGTATATAGACTATTATTGCACTATTTCATACATTTACTATTTTTCTTTTTGTATTTACTTGCACAATTGTTTTCTGTTTTTCAGTTTTATTGTGTTGCACTGTTGGAGGAGCCTGTGACCTAAGATTTTCATCGTCATAACTACACTGTAGCTAAGTACGTATGACAAATAAAAGCCTTGAACCTTGAACTATTTGAATGAAACATGCAAACACCAGATAGAAACTAAACAATAACAGTATAGTGCCGTACAACAACACTGACTTTTTATGTTTTTTTTGTCAAGGCCATTATATTTTTGTGGTTCTATATTTTTTTGTTTATTTATTCACATGTAGCCTACTCCTACTATCAGAAACATACACTATGTTTTAGGTGTGGGTGAGGCTTTATGGGTTCTTTAACCGGAACAGAGAAGCAAACTGAAATAAAAGCTTAATTAAATTGTGTATCGTTGCTTTTATAAGCCCGATTTCAAGATGTGTGATCATTACTTTATTATAGGTAAACTAACTATAATGAAAATTATATTGTGTTTATTTGAACTGAGAGTGAGATTGCTGTGTATACACATCGTCTCCAATAACACATTTAAGATTTACTACCGTTTTTTAAAGCAGGAAAATTGTGTTTTTTCAGCCCTGAGTAATGTCTACGGGACAGGCTGCATACATCGCCCACAAAGCTCTAAAAACCTAACATGAACCTGAAAGGTAAAACTCAGGCAAAAAATGTCCACTAGACTCAGACTAAATGTTTTGTTTTCATTATAAATGTCCAGCGTTCTTGGTAAAGTGCCAACTTTTGTAAAAACAATTTTTTGTTTGTTTATGATTCAAAATGAAACATTGAGATTTTAATACAAATACATAAAATATTCCAGTTGATTTCAAGAGAAACAAATGATTTAAGGGAATAAATGAACATAATAGGGTTTCAGATTTCATTGCTTCTGATTGAGATGTGATTCATTAAATGTTCCTTCCCTTTGGAAAATATTCTGAAAGAGAATATCTTTCTCAAACATAAACAAAATATGAAAATGACTGAACAGAATCACACTTACTTCTCCTGAGTCGTCCTGTCAGCTGCTTCTCTCTCCGTCTCTCTCGATGTGCTGGTGAAGACTCAGATATCCACGAGGTCGCTGCTCTCTTTGAGCCACCTTTGGGCAAACATTTGAATATTAAAATTCAGATTTCAACGAGGTCTATCATGAAATATAGGATCCAGTTATGGAAAGAATATCAATTACATGTAACAGGGAAAACAGTTGAACACACTTCCTTGTTGACTGTCTGACACACGGAAAGAAAGGTACCATTCCAAAATATGCACTAATGAGAACTATTGAATGTTTATATTTTTTATATTTTTGTTCGGATATTAATAATAATAATAATAGCTTGCATTTATATAGCGCCTTTCAAGGGACCCAAGGTCGCTGTACAGTAATAGGGCAAAAACAAACATAACAAAACAAAAGTCAGACAGACAAAACAACAGATCGATTAGGGGCCGAAAGCCTTGGCAAACAGATGGGACTTGAGGGCCCTTTTGAAGGCGTCGAGTGTGGGGATGTTGCGAATCTCCGCAGGGAGAGCGTTCCAGAGGGTGGGGGCTGCCACACTGTAGGCTCTGTCCCCGAAGGTTCGCAGTTTGGTGTGGGGGGTGGTGAGCAGGCCAGAGTCTGAGGACCGCAGGTTCCGGGGTGGGGCATGTGGGTGAAGGATGTCCGATAGGTACTAGGGGGCAAGGGCATGGAGGGACTTGTAGGTGAGGAGGAGTACTTTGTAAGATATACGGGACTTGACCGGCAACCAGTGTAGGTGGATGAGGGTGGGAGTGATGTGCTGCCACGGCTTTGTGTGTGTGAGTACCCTAGCAGCACAGTTTTGGACATACTGGAGCCTGTCCAGGTTTTTTTTGGGAACCCTGAACAGGACACCATTGCAGTAGTCCAAGCGGGTGGTGACAAATGCATGTACTAGGGTTTCGGCAACCGACTCCGAAAGTGACGGTCGGAGTCTGGCAATGTTCCTCAGGTGGAAAAAGGCCGATTTGGTCACAGATTTGACGTGGGAATGGAAGGAAAGGGTGGAGTCAAGGATGACACCCAGGTTGCGGGCTTCAGGAGATGGGGAGATGGAGCAGCCGTCGACCTCGAGGATGAAGTCACTAACCTTCTGGAGCAGGGCCTTGGGTGCCACAACCATGAGCTCTGTTTTCTTGCTGTTTAGTTTGAGATAGTTGGAAGACATCCATGTTTTGATGTCATGCAGGCAGTTGATGAGAGACTGAGGGGGGAGCTGGGAGGATGGAGTGGTGCTGAGATACAGTTGGGTATCATCAGTGTAACAGTGGAAATTGAGTCCATGATGTCGGATGATCTGGCCGAGGGGGAGCATGTAAATGGTGAACAGGAGGGGGCCAAGCACAGAGCCCTGGGGTACACCGTGGTGGACTGGGGCCGGGGGTGAGTTTGAGCCACTGATGGAGACAAACTGTTTCCTGTTATGGAGGTAGGATGTGAACCAGGACAGCGCTGTGCCAGTGACACCTAGGAGGTCTGAGAGGCGGGTGAGGAGGATGTTGTGAGAGATGGTGTCAAACGCTGCAGAGAGGTCCAGGAGGATGAGGATGCTGAGGCGGCCAGAGTCAGCAGCAATGAGGAGATCGTTGGTGATCTTGATGAGGGCAGTCTCAGTGCTGTGTTGCTGTCTGAAGCCGGATTGGAAGGGCTCATAGAGCTCATGGTTGGACATGTACAGATGGAGTTGGCCGGCGACCACTATATTGCTTGTTACCATATGTCAAACAGCTTTAAGAGAACATTCTGGCTGTATTTGAGCACCCCATATTTCAAGTGTGTCAACATTATTTGAATTTCAGTCACATAGTTTCTTTATTCTGAAACACAAGTCAAAAACATTATCTCTTTGTTGTCTCTATTCTTATGAGTCTGTCCATCCAGCTATTTCATTCCTGTGAATGCTATATCTCAGGAGAACGTGAGGAATTCATTCAAGTCTTGCACAATCTTCCACTTGGACTCAAGGATGAATCCATTTCTGTCACATTTTGACCTTTTGATTGTGGTCAAAAGGCCAAAAGTCTCTGAGACCTCACAAAACACGATTTTGTGGCAGAATTATTATGTTAGCTATGACAATGTCACTCAACTTTCCGATCAGTAAATAGCAATAACCGTGCATAAACAAGATCGTTTTGGGATTAGAATTTCTCAAAACAAAGAAGACCAATTGTAAGCCACTGTGGGACACCAAAACACATTTTTAAACGACTTGATGTGGAATTATTTGAAACTACTGCCTGATTTCTACAAGAAAGATAGTGATAACAACCACTTATTTAACTGGTAATTATCTAGCTTCACAGATCATGTTTAAAGTAAAATATTAAATATAAATATAAATATACATAATACAGTAGGGATTACGGACTGATCCAGCCAGGCCATGTACAGAGCACTGGGGCAGTCGCTGTGTGGCACAAGAAGGCTCCCGGAAAGATAACATCACATTTACATGAACATATCAAAACAGCACAACAAGAACAAAGACTGCTCTTACTTGACTTGACTTTACAAGTCAAATGAGTGCACGCTATGGTTTGCAGCACACCTAAACAGACCTATCCCATATTTCTCTCCTATCTGAATAACTCTGCCATGGCAACAGTCACAGTGTCCACCTTTTTAATACAATTTGGCATCTCTGTTTTCATGTCCTTATTCTGATAAAGAGGCCTGAATACATGTTTCACCTGCTCTATATTTCATGTATAATACAAAGCCTTTGAGTTAACTTAAAGAGAACAAGATCAAAATATCTCACAACTTCAGTCCTGTGTTCTCCAAACACTTAAAGGTAGGGTAGGTAAGTTTGAGAAACCGGCTCGAGATCGCTAGAATTTGAAAATACACAACCGGAGAAAATCTGCCACTTCCTTACAGAGCCCCTCCTCCAACACACACGAACGCGCACATGACCAATGAGGGCACGAGATAAGTTTGTGCACAGATGGAAGGCTGACAGGCAGGTAGGCCATCCAGTTATTTTAGCCGGGCCGGCTAAAATGGTTGGTCGTGCTTTTTACAGTATTACGGCTTCCACAGATGAAATGTTTTTATGGATTTTTTGTCAAAGCACTTCAGATATTCATTGCTATCGGGATGTTAAGAGCATTCCATGGAATATAACAAAAAGTGTATCTCGAGCCGGTTTCTCAAACTTACCTACCCCACCTTTAAAAGCAGCCCAACTGTTGAATTGATATTCACAAAAAGTCAAACTTTGAGAATGGGCTAATGCCAGGTTTGGTCCACTAGTTCAAATATAAGGAAATCCAAATGCTTCAGCATACGATAACACTTGCATTAGAATTACCACACACACTTGCACAGATACCCACAGGAACACACATTATGATGGATATGTCATTAGGGCCCCCCTAGATCACCACAGATATTTCTACCCCAAAAAATAATAACTCATGCCATAGATGGTTATTAAAATATTTGAGTTGTCAAATTAATAAATTCAATTTAGCAAATGTTTTATTAGAAAGTTATTTTTTTAATTGTTTGAAAGATATAAATACATGTGTTATTATCATCCCAACGACAGCAGGCACCAACAGAAGAGCTGGTTCAACTGCGTCCTCTAGTGTTGAAAGATAACCACAACAACAAAAACATCTTCCACTTCTATGACTCATTCCTGTTTACTTTGGGTGCATTTTGACAAGCTGCATATTCACTCTAAAAAAATCACGAACTAAATCTCTCAGTGAACTCAAACACAGTCCTTATTATGTAGTTTGATTTTTAAGAATGACAGCTATGGAGAAATCCTTTTCAATTACATACCCATACATTATGTGTTCACTGTCAAATAAGCACCTCTTAGGTAAATGTAAAACATGACTATTTAAAGCCAGTGGACGAAAGAACCACACCTTGTTTTTGGCTCAGATCGTTTATTCAGTTTTAGACAATTAAACATCCAGTTAAAACTCCATTAAGGTAAATATGACAAAAATAGTGATACACATATTATAACCATCACCAAATTTCAACCAAAACGTAAACAAATTCTGAAAAGCAAAACATTATAGATTTGTCTTTTTATATATATTTTCTCTTAAACATAAAAGACAACAATTCAAATGAAGATTACAGGTTTCACACTTTAAGAGGATAAATAAACATGTACTCTATGAATAACTACTACAACAAAAACATATCAAGTCATTCAGATGTTCACAGAGGCAAACACATGTTACATTTAGTGTCACCCCTTTTTCTCAAGTTCTAATCCTCAGTTAGTAATCTGTTAGTAATTTAGTTTCTCCCCTCTTCAGGCTGTGATTTCTATATTTGAACTAGAGCCATTCAATAAACCCAGAGAGCAGACACATATTAGAGAAGAGTGAGCTTGTTGCAGTAAATATACCAATGGGTTTACTTAGCGCAGATGAAATTAAACTTTTTATGGTCAGGCTTTTTGTACCACTTTCCATCTCTCTCCATGACTCCAGCCATGCCACACTGCTCATCCATGTTGTCTTGGGCCCAGTTGTGATAGCAGACCAGACGATCAATGACCCAGAGCCACAGATCCATTGTGCAGGTGTAGCGCATTCCCAGCCAGACGAACTCAGTGTCGGCCATCTTGGCTTTCTCTTGGACCCATCTCTGCTGGTGACTGTCAGTGATGGAGACCAGGTCACGGTGGTTCTCTCTGCAGTAAGTCAGGGCCTCATCCCAAGTCTTACTCTCTTTGATCAGGATCACTTTGTCTGGCAATGAAATTGATTAATTTTTTTTATTGGGGTAACTATTTATTGCAGAAAAACTCTCAACTGTAATAATATAGAACCTTTCTTACAATAATCCTTGTGTTTTTTAAATAAATAAAAGTCCCCACAAAAAAGAAGTAAATAAGATACAAATGGAATTAAAACCAATGGTAAGGAAATATAAGTCCAGAAATGACGTGGCACCTTGTGTAAAAGCCAGGTTAAAAAGATGCGTCTTAAGGACAAAAACATGACTAAATGATATTCAAACTTTAGTAAGAATATTATATTCACAGTCTATCGTAAGATTAAGGACAGAATCCAGATCATTAATTCTGTGTATATTAAACATAATTTCACAACTAAAGGATATTCAACATGAATGTAAAAATATATAACTGAAGACTTGAAATAAGAATACTTTACTTATAGACTTTTGCAAAACTCACCGTCATAGCAGTAGAAGGGTTTTTCCTCTGTGCAGATGTCGGAGCTCCACTTTCCATTGGACGTAGTCATAGCACAAGTCTTTGAGGCTTCATCTTTAAATGAGTCCGGATCCCAGTGTCTGAAAGAGAAATTCTTCCCATCTGACCAGCTCCAGATCTCTCTGAACAGGCCGATCCACAGGAACTTATTAATATCCTCATTGTTTAATCCTTGGACCCGTTCCTTGAATTCATCAACCCGTTTCGTGAATCCATCTGATCTGATGTGTTTGATTCCACTGACCAGGTCAGTGTGATTTTCTCTGCAGTAGCTCTGAGCCTGAAGCCAGTTCTTTGGTTCATCAATTAAAAAGTATTTCAGCCCTTTTTCTGTGTGAACGAAAAGACACATTTTACTTCTGGTATAATAATGTAGATTGCATAATAAAAAAAATAGGCCTTAACTTTACCATTACAATGTATTTAAACAAGTAGAATTGTATCAAAGTGACCAATAATGTTATGTTTAAGGTGAAAAGCAAAAATATTTTTCAATTTCATTTAACTCTACACACGTGTACAACACATGAGTTATCTGTCAACTATTGTTACACACTATGATATGATTTATATAGCGTTAATAATGACAGATACTCACCATTGTAGCAGATGAACTTAAGTTTTTTACAACAAAAGACATCGCTCCATTTTTTTGAGTGTGTAATCATCACACAGTTCTGAGGATTGACACCTCCATTGTTCGGCTCTTTTGGAGCCCATTCAGGTCCACATTCTGGATCACATTCTGTAGGATTGTACTTCTCCCCCGGCAGAGACCAGTGCCACACTTTGATATCTCTTTCATTGATGCTCCTCAGTCCAATCCAGGCGTCTGTAGTCTGTGAAGAGTTAGTCAGTCTCTCCACGTCTCTCATGTCAGACACTGTGGCCAGGTCAGTGAAATGCTCTCTGCAATAACTCTGGGCTTCCTCCCAGGTCTTTCTCTCAGGAATGAAGTGGTACTCATAGAGGTCACATGTGAAGAAGGAACACTGACCTAAAAACAGAGACCATTCTGCAGTGATGGAGCTGACAGTATGACAAGCACCTGATCATTAAATCAAACTCATGAGTACTAGAATCACCCCCACCTCTTACATCGTCCCCTTCATCTTAATGGAGCTCTGAGGACACTTATTTCACGTTTTATTGTTATGAGCTGTTTCATGACTCCAGATGTGATATCAGTTACAAATCTGATAAGATGATCCACTTACCCATCAGAATCAGCACGAACTGAATCCACTGCATCTTTGCTCTGTTAGATGAAAGCAATATTGTTATTGATCATTGATAACAAGTAACATGTAATGATAAATCGTATAAATGATGTCAGTTACATTTAAATTATTTTGAACACCTAATGTTTCAGTTAAATTAACACAAACACAGACTGCACCACTCGCTTCTGTGCAGTAGTTTAATGAAGATGCAGAAAATTAGAGAAAATGCAAATTTAGAGCAACACCAGCAGTAACATACGGAGCCCCTAAAGCAGGGGTGTCAAACTAACTATCAGCATTATGGTTGTCCTCAAAGGGCCGGTTGTAACTTTAACACTATATAAATATACATATATCAATTAATGTTTTATATAACAATATTGCCTCTGCATTGGAGTATTATTAGTTTTGGTAATAACAACGTCTGAAAGCACATGGTTGTGCATCGATATATTGTGCACGTAGACACAAAAATACGGTGGGCTCAGACTAACATTTCACTCTCTTACTGTTACATAAATCCCATGCATTTATGAAATGTAGTTAGCCTCATCATATCTCATCAAACAGAGATACAATTTTAGTGTAATATAATTTGTTGTGAATAATAAAGTTTTGTTTTTTAATATCAAGCATTATTTAAGAAGGCTATATTTTATTTGAATTCAGCAATTATATTGTAATAGTCTGAAAGCCAAGACTTTGAGAACCCCCTGTCCCAGATCCTGCTGTGTTAATATTGTGTATACTAGTGTATACTCAGTGGCGACTGGTCATTAGGGGCAGGTGGGGCACAGCCCCACCTAGTGTCAGCAGAAAGTATTACAAATAATGATTACAAAAATGCAAAAAAATAAATAAAAAAATATATAAAATATATTTTAAGATCATGTTTAATCATCTGATTCGTCTGTACATTGCTGTTTTAGTCTGTGTTCTTCTAATTAGTGTGTCTACAGTCACAGTGTGTGCCTATTGAGCTGTTTAGAGCCATGTGGGACAAAACCTGATTATGCCCCTTCCTCTCGCTGTGAAGTGAACGTGACTGTAAAAACTACACTGCGCATGCTCAGAGTATTTTGTAATGAAATGTGTGTGGCAAAAAAATAATGACCAGAGGGGCATGGAGCTACCATCCCCACCATACGTCATCTCAAATCATTCAGAGCTGATTGGCTGTAAGTACGTGTGCCGCGAAAAGTGTGCTGTGTGAAGAGGAGACGAGAGAGCTGCAGTGGCGCGTCCTAAAACCAGGAAGTAAGCACAAAAAAAGCAATGAGATTTCTCCAGAGGATTTTAGAAAATAGCTCGAAATAAGATCTGTGGGAAACGTACCTGTTAGATAAATGCACGTTTTGATTAGCCGGATAACATCCACATGTCTACCCTACTTTTATAATTTTTTTATCATAAATCTATGGATTAGATTTATGATAGACTTTTGAAACTACAAGAAGATAAGGAGGACTTTTACAAAAAAGTAATAGAAATGTTTGTCCAGAAGGATAGGCAAATGGACTTCATCTTCAAGTCAAGGTAAGACCGCCATTTTATTGAAAATGGGATCTTACTAAGAGAGAACAATTCAATATTTAAATGATAAAATTACATTTTTTGGGTATCCTTTTGTTGAACTGTCTGTTTAAAATTAATCGAAGCATCAGACAAAAAAAGCTTTTGAAAATAATATTATATTTTGGTTTAGGTCAAAATATAATATGTGTAAACCTGAAGAGTCAGTGCCAGTGCCTCATCAGCCATGAACCTCACTGCACGTCACTGCAGAAGCTTATATATAGACATCTAAGTTTTTTGTGCCCCACCACTTTTGTACATATAAAAACGCCACTGTGTATACTATACTATCACCTGTCGCTCACTATTTCAGGAAGCAGTGGGGGGCGTTGAGGAGGAACAGAGTGAGAGGTGGCATCGCGGAAGTTTTCCTCCTTCCTTTACAAACTTTACACAAGTATAAGTATTTATCGTCTGAATATAGCAAAAAGCCGTTCACTGGAGTTGCTTGTCTCGGTTGCTGAAGCAGACATTGCTCCGTGTTTGGTGTCTCTGTGCCGCTGTAACTTCTGTTCCTTCAGCTCTGTGTCACTCACACACTGGTCACTGCCTCAGAGTGCCGCTGCTGATAGGAAGTCGCTTCAGTGCGCATGTCACAAAACGAGATGCATTTTGGGACATGTAGTTTATGGGCCGTATAATAATCGTATAATAAACTGTTTATATTCTTTGCGAGCTCTCGCGGGCCTAATCAAATGAGGTCGCGGGGGCCTTGAGTTTGACACCCCTGCCCTAAAGGGACAACAACAAAAAGTCGGGATAACGAGACACTAACCCGTTATCCTGAAATGTTTCTCTCTCTTTTTTTTTTCTTTTCATGTCATTTTCTTTTGCACATGAAAAAGTCTAATATATCATATTCCAATCACTTGTATATAGACTCTTATTGCACTATTTCACAAATGTACTATTTTTCTTTTTGTATTTACTTTCACAATTGTTTTCTGTTTTTCAGTTTTATTGTGTTGCACTGTTGGAGGAGCCTGTGACCTAAGATTTTCATCGTCATAACTACACTGTAGCTAAGTACGTATGACAAATAAAAGCCTTGAACCTTGAACTATTTGAATGAAACATGCAAACACCAGTTACAAACTAAACAATAACAGTATAGTGCCATACAACAACACTGACTTTTTATGTTTTTTTTGTCAAGGCCATTATATTTTTGTGGTTCTATATTTTTTTGTTTATTTATTCACATGTAGCCTACTCCTACTATCAGAAACATACACTATGTTTTAGGTGTGGGTGAGGCTTTATGGGTTCTTTAACCGGAACAGAGAAGTAAACTGAAATAAAAGCTTAATTAAATTGTGTATCGTTGCTTTTATAAGCCCGATTTCAAGATGTGTGATCATTTCTATATTATAGGTAAACTAACTATAATGAAAATTACATTGTGTTTATTTGAACTGAGAGTGAGATTGCTGTGTATACACATCGTCTCCAATAAAACATTTAATATTTACCACCGTTTTTTAAAGCAGGAAAATAGTGTTTTTTCCAGCCCTGAGTAATGTCTACGGGACAGGCTGCATACATCGCCCACAAAGCTCTAAAAACCTAACATGAACCTGAAAGGTAAAACTCAGGGCAAAAAATGTCCACTAGACTCAGACTAAATGTTTTGTTTTCATTATAAATGTCCAGCGTTCTTGGTAAAGTGCCAACTTTTGTACAATTATTTTTTTGTTTGTTTATGATTCAAAATGAAACATTGAGATTTTAATACAAATACATAAAATATTCCAGTTGATTTCAAGAGAAACAAATGATTTAAGGGAATAAATGAACATAATAGGGTTTTAGATTTCATTGCTTCTGATTGAGATGTGATTCATTAAATGTTCCTTCCCTTTGGAAAATATTCTGAAGGAGAATATCTTTCTCAAACATAAACAAAATATGAAAATGACTGAACAGAATCACACTTACTTCTCCTGAGTCGTCCTGTCAGCTGCTTCTCTCTCCGTCTCTCTCGATGTGCTGGTGAAGACTCAGATATCCACGAGGTCGCTGCTCTCTTTGAGCCACCTTTGGGCAAACATTTGAATATTAAAATTCAGATGTCAACGAGGTCTATCATGGTGGATATACTGTAGGATCCATTGATGGAAAGAATATCATTTACATGTAACAGGGAAAAAAGTTGAACACACTTCCTTGTTGACTGTCTGACACACGGAAAGAAAGGTACCATTCCAAAATATGCACTAATGAGAACTATTGAATGTTTATATTTTTTATATTTTTGTTCGGATATTGCTTGTTACCATATGTCAAACAGCTTTAATAGAACATTCTGGCTGTATTTGAGCACCCCATATTTCAAGTGTGTCAAAATTATTTGAATTTCAGTCACATAGTTGATTTATTCTGAAACAGCCAACAAGTCAAAAACATTATCTCTTTGTTGTCTGAATTCTTATGAGTCTGTCCATCCAGCTATTTCATTCCTGTGAATGCTATATCTCAGGAGAACGTGAGGAATTCATTCAAGTCTTGCACAATCTTCCACTTGGACTCAAGGATGAATCCATTTCTGTCACATGTTTGACCTTTGATTGTGGTCAAAAGGCCAAAAGTCTCTGTGACCTCACAAAACACGATTTTGTGGCACTAACAAGAATTATTATGTTAGCTATGACAATGTCACTCAACTTTCCGATCAGTAAATAGCAATAATCGTGCATAAACAAGATAGTTTTGGGATTAGAATTTCTCAAAACAAAGAAGACCAATTGTAAGCCACTGTGGGACACCAAAACACATTTTTAAACGACTTGATGTGGAACGATTTGAAACTACTCCCTGATTTCTACAAGAAAGATAGTGATAACAACCACTTATTTAACTGGTAATTATCTAGCTTCACAGATCATGTTTAAAGTAAAATATTAAATATAAATATAAATATACATAATACAGTAGGATTACGGACTGATCCAGCCAGGCCATGTACAGAGCACTCGGTCAGTCGCTGTGTGGCACAAGAAGGCTCCCGGAAAGATAACATCACATTTACATGAACATCTAAAAACAGCACAACAAGAACAAAGACTGCTCTTACTTGACTTGACTTTACAAGTCAAATGAGTGCACGCTATGGTTTGCAGCACACTATCAGTGAACTCAAACACAGTCCTTATTATGTAGTTTGATTTGTAAGAATGACAGCTATGGAGAAATCCTTTTCAATTTCATACCCATACATTATATATGTGTTTACTGTCAAACAAGCACCTCTTATGTAAATGTAAAACATGACTATTTAAAGCCAGTGGACGAAAGAACCACACCTTGTTTTTGGGTCAGATCGTTTATTCAGTTTTAGACAATTAAACATCCAGTTAAAACTCCATTAAGGTAAATATGACAAAAATAGTGATACACATATTATAACCAGGGGTGCACATAACTGGTACGCAGGTACGCATGCGCGGCAACAATCTGAAATGCGTACCGTCACTTGTGTCACAAAGCGCATTTGCGTACCGACGTAAATGTGAAGCTTTTCCAGAAGGCGGTTAGTTCACTGGACGACAGAGTCGGTCTCCGTGTGCACAGACAGGGCTGCTTTTGACGTCGGTCTGTACCATGGATGTATAATAAGAACTGGATACAGCGTGGGAGGCGGGGCCTCATTCATTCCTATGAGAGTTGCTCATTCGCGCATGATGATAAAATGGCCCAACTTTTGAGAGAGCGAAACGTCACAGATTACCCGGCATGCCTGAGAAGTACCCGTATGTGCGCTCATAGCGCAACTTTAACCATGCCCCCCAAAATGCTCGTTCACATCAAGCACGTCAATTTGCGTACACGTAACAGCACCGCACGTTCATGACAGCATGGTAATGGTTTGTTATTATGATAGATTTGATATTAACGAGGCGGCAGTTAGCAGCTAGCGGTTAGCTAGTAATTATGCTAATTTACACATCAATCGTTATGTACTTTTATATTACGCTGTAACAGGATCTAGTGATATCCAAGCAACAGAGCTTCATTTAGCATGAAAGAATTATTGCACTGTATATATACAGTGCAATAAGCTTCTTAGTGCAATAAGAAGCTACAGGGACGTTAATCTACGTCGGTAATATTAACTTTATTTAATACAACATTTACGGTACAAGATTTAATCATACAGCCCATGTAGTATAATATTTTACAAATGATGAATTACAGCAAACATGTGCAATATATCCATTATTACAGCTCCGTGGGATGGCAGTAAGGCGATATGGGTCCGTTCTTATCGTGCATCCATGGGTAAAGATAAACGCATGTAGTACTGAACACGTAACATGAACGTGCCGGGCGGCGCGGTCCCGTGGGTTAGATGCGCGTTCATAATGCAGAGGGAAATAACTCACAGAATAACGTTATTAGCACATTTTTACAACTTCAGGAACGAATGTTTTTAATAAGGGCTATACAAGTGTTCATACTGGGTAGTTTATTTAGTTTAAAAAAAATTATCCAACGATTTACAGACCACTCTTTCCCCATGTAAGTCAATGGGAAAAAGTGTTTCCGGGCCTGGCAACCAAAAGGAAGTGTAGTACCGCCGTTTGGCCAGCACGAATATTTTCATCTGAGTCCGGCGCACTTCCTGGGGGCTTGGTCTGTACAGCAGCCCTGCGCTAAAACAGCTGATCACAAACGTTCACACGCTCCGCGGTCACGAAGCTCTGTACTCCACTACCCCCCCCCCCCCCCCCCCCCCCCCCCCGTTGACAATCGCCAGAAGTTGGAGTACCAAACACTATGGGCTCAGAACAGTCTCATAATACACACATGCACACAGAAGGATTCACACTTGTATTTCATGATCCGCAAAAGGATTCACACTTGTATTTCCGGATCCACACTTGTGTTTTTCAATGCACACACAAATGTGTTCCGTTTCATATACATGTAAATAAAATCCAAATAAGAAAAAAGTTTTACATATGTATTTTTGATCCTCACATATTTGTTTTCCGTTTAAAACCGCTGCACCTGCAAACACAAACCGCTTTCTGTGCATGGATCGCTCTGCATTCGTGTGTGGGTTTTTTGAGACTCCCCTGACGGTGACCCGATTCGTACTTGTAATTTTTTCTATCTATAGCCAATCAGATGTCTCCTCAATTCTAAGCCAATCACATGAGCGCGCCCCCACAAGGGTAGATTTCTTGCGTTCATGACGTAGCGCTTCATGTACGCATTTTGCGCTGTCCGGAGCTGACAGGTCCATGGAGCCTGCCTGCAGGCGCTAATCTCAGGACACCTCCACTCTCAGTACATTGCCACTTTCCGATCAGGAAATGCACGCAAATACAAGCCTTTATATTATTAAGGTACAGTGCCACTTTCCGAACCATTAATGAATGCTTGTGTACACAAAAACGGCAGGCAAAACTGTTTTAAATGTGTGTTTCCTGTATGGTGATCAGCTGCTTTATTTATGTCTGTATGAAGTTGTTGTGAGTGTGGAGGGAGCAGCTACAGGTTAGCTTAGCCTAATCGATCAGTGCACTACGAAGCCAGTGCTAGACAGTGAACTGTCAACGGGGGGAGCCCCGCCGGTCATTATCGGCCGATATTCACTCTTAATAGTTTGATCGGTGCTCTCTATAAAGGCCGATCAGGAGAGCTGGATCTGATCGATATGGACATAAACGCGAGTGAAGTTTTAGCGAGCTGCATGAGAAACTGACGGGCTGTCAGGAGAGAGGGAGGGAGAGAGGAAAAGAGATGATCCTTACTCCCGTGTTATTATCCGGTCATAGTCCGGTAATTACCTAACGGAAACGCTGCTACACAATTCTTATTATTATTATTATTGAAACATGACCGGTAAGTTTCAAATTTGTCCGGTAAAATTAAATTCTGTCCGCGGAAACCCTGCTCCGGACTACGCAAAATGCGTATATGAAGTGACATGAACGCAAGAAATCTACCCTCGTGGGGGCGCGCTCATGTGATTGGCTTAGAATTGAGGAGACATCTGATTGGCTATAGATAGAAAAAATTACAAGTACGAATCGGGTGACCGTCAGGGGAGTCTCAAAAAACCCACACACGAATGCAGAGCGATCCATGCACAGAAAGCGGTTTGTGTTTGCAGGTTCAGGGGATTTAAACGGAAAACAAATATGTGAGGATCAAAAATACATATGTAAAACTTTTTTCTGTATTTGGATTTTATTTACATGTATATGAAACGGAACACATTTGTGTGTGCATTGAAAAACACAAGTGTGGATCCGGAAATACAAGTGTGAATCCTTTTGTGGATCATGAAATACAAGTGTGAATCCTTCTGTGTGCATGTGTGTATTATGAGACTGTTCTGAGCCCATAAACACTGACTAGGTAGACAGGTACTCATCTGAGTACCTCACTGAGAAAGTTCTGTGCACCCCTGATTATAACCATCACCACATTTCAACCAAAACGTAAACAAATTCTGAAAAGCAAAACATAATAGATTTGTCTTTTTATATATATTTTTCTCTTAAACATAAAAGACAACAATTCAAATGAAGATTACAGGTTTCACACTTTAAGAGGATAAATAAACATGTACTCTATGAATAACTACTACAACAAAAACATATCAAGTAATTCAGATGTTCACAGAGGCAAACACATGTAACATTTAGTGTCGCCCCTTTTTCTCAATTTCTAATCCTCAGTTAGTAATCTGTTAGTAATTTAGTTTCTCCCCTCTTCAGGCTGTGATTTCTATATTTGAACTAGAGCCATTCAATAAACCCAGAGAGCAGACACATATTAGAGAAGAGTGAGCTTGTTGCAGTAAATATACCAATGGGTTTACTTAGCGCAGATGAAATGAAACTTTTCATTGTCAGCCTTTGTGTACCACTTTCCATCTCTCTTCATGACTCCAGCCATGCCACACTGCTCATCCATTTTGTCTTGGGCCCAGTTGTTATAGCAGACCAGACGATCATTGACCCAGAACCACAGATCCAGAGTGCAGGTGTAGCGCATTCCCAGCCAGACGAACTCAGTGTCGGCCATCTTGGCTCTCTCTTGGACCCATCTCTGCTGGTGTCTGTCAGTGATGGAGACCAGGTCATGGTGGTTCTCTCTGCAGTAAGTCAGGGCCTCATCCCAAGTCTTACTCTCATTGATCAGGATCACTTTGTCTGGCAATGAAATTGATTAATTTTTTTATTAGGATAACTATTTATTGCAGACTCTCAACTGTAATAATATAGAACCTTTCTTACAATAATCCTTGTGTTTTTTAAATAAATTAAAGTCCCCACAAAAAAGAAATGAATAAGATACAAATGGAATTAAAACCAATGGTAAGGAAATATAAGTCCAGAAATGACGTGGCACCTTGTGTAAAAGCCAGGTTAAAAAGATGCGTCTTAAGGACAAAAACATGTCTAAATGATATTCAAACTTTAAGTAGTAAGAATATTATATTCACAGTCTATCGTAAGATTAAGGACAGAATCCAGATCATTAATTCTGTGTATATTAAACATAATTTCACAACTAAAGGATATTCAACATGAATGTAAAAATATATAACTGAAGACATGAAATAAGAATACTTTACTTATAGACTTTTGCAAAACTCACCGTCATAGCAGAAGAAGGGTTTTTGATCTGTGCAGATGTCGGAGCTCCACTTTCCATTGGACGTAGTCATAGCACAAGTCTTTGAGGCTTCATCTTTAAATGAGTCCGGATCCCAGTGTCTGAAAGAGACGTTCTTCCCATCTGACCAGCTCCAGATCTCTCTGAACAGGCCGATCCAAAATAACTTATCTAGATCTCCGGAGTCATCAGAGCTTTGCTGATGGTTGAATTCAACTGAATTGATATTTTCAAGTCCACTGACCAGGTCAGTGTGATGTTCTCTGCAGTAGCTCTGAGCCTGAAGCCAGTTCTTTGGTTCATCAATTACAAAGTATTTCAGTTCCCCTGTTTCTGTGTGAACGAAAAGAGACATTTTACTTCTGGTATAATAATGTAGATTGCATAATAAAAAAAATAGGCCTTAACTTTACCATTACAATGTATTTAAACAAGTAGAATTGTATCAAAGTTACCAATAATGTTATGTTTAAGGTGAAAAGCAAAAATGTTTTTCAATTTAATTTAACTCTACACACGTGTACAACACATGAGTTATCTGTCAACTATTGTTACACACTATGATATGATTTATATAGCGTTAATAATGACTGATACTCACCATTGTAGCAGATAAACTTGAGTTTAAGAGAACAAAGGACATCGCTCCATTTTTTTGAGTGTGTAATCACCACACAGTTCTGAGGATCGACATATGCATTGTTCGGCTCATCTCTATGCCATTCAGGTCCACATTCTGGATCACATTCTGTAGGATTGTACTTCTCCCCCGGCAGAGACCAGTGCCACACTTTAATATCTCCTTCATTGATGCTCCTCAGTCCAATCCAGGCGCCTGTAGTCTGTGAAGAGTTAGTCAGTCTCTCCACGTCTCTCATGTCAGACACTGTGGCCAGGTCAGTGAAATGCTCTCTGCAATAACTCTGGGCTTCATCCCAGGTCTTTCCCTCTTGAATGAAGTGGTACTCATAGAGGTGACATGTGAAGAAGGAACACTGACCTAAAAACAGAGACCATTCTGCAGTGATGGAGCTGACAGTATGACAAGCACCTGATCATTAAATCAAACCCATGAGTACTAGAATCACCCCCACCTCTTACATCGTCCCCTTCATCTTAATGGAGCTCTGAGGACACTTATTTCACGTTTTATTGTTATGAGCTGTTTCATGACTCCAGATGTGATATCAGTTACAAATCTGATAAGATGATCCACTTACCCATCAGAATCAGCACGAACTGAATCCACTGCATCTTTGCTCTGTTAGATGAAAGCAATATTATTATTGATCATTGATCAATCTTATAAATGATGTCAGTAACATTTAAATTATTTTGAACACCTAATGTTTCAGTTAAATTAACACAAACACAGACTGCACCACTCGCTTCTGTGCAGTAGTTTAATGAAGATGTAAATGTAGAGAAAATGCAAATTTAGAGCAACACCAGCAGTAACATACGGAGCCCCTAAAGCAGGGGTGTCAAACTAACTATCAGCATTATGGTTGCCCTCAAAGGGCCGGTTGTAACTTTAACACTATATAAATATACATATATCAATTAATGTTTTATATAACAATATTGCCTCTGCATTGGAGTATTATTGGTTTTGGCAATAACAACGTCTGAAAGCACATGGTTGTGCATCGATATATTGTGCACGTAGACACAAAAATACGGTGGGCTCAGACTAACATTTCACTCTCTTACTGTTACATAAATCCCATGCATTTATGAAATGTAGTTAGCCTCATCATATCTCATCAAACAGAGATACAATTTTAGTGTAATATAATTTTTAGTGAATAATAAAGTTTTGTTTTTTAATATCAAGCATTATTTAAGAAGGCTATATTTTATTTGAATTCAGCAATTATATTGTAATAGTCTGAAAGCCAAGACTTTGAGAACCCCCTGTCCCAGATCCTGCTGTGTTAATATTGTGTATACTAGTGCAGTGGTTCTCAACTGGTTAGGCCTCGGGACCCACTTTTTACTTGGTCAATACATCGTGACCCAACATTTTGAAGCACTCAAAAAATCGTGCTGTAATATATACGCTTTTCAGAATACAATATTAATAAAAGTGAAGTACAGTGCATATATCCCTTCACAGAACTAAAGTATGCTTTTAAAAAAGGTTTAATGAGATAATGGAATCAAAGCTGAACTATATAAAAAGGCACACATGCTGAAAACCCAACCCCAGCAGGGGGGTCTGGGGGGATTCACCCCCAGGAGATTTTTAGAAATACTAACATAAACTACGCATTCTGGTACACTCTGAGAAGAAAATAAATAAATCTATTACTACCCGACATATTAATAATATTTTATGCCATTGTTTGTTTTTCACTTAGTTCTGACAGCTTGCTGAGAGAAGAGTAAAGAGGAGATTCTGTGTGACTTACTTTAAATTGTGGGTAAGGGTAGATAGCTCCCATTGTTCTGTGACCTGTCAATCATCAAACCGGGGGTCATATTTCATTATGTGTTCATTTTTATCTGAAGTTGTACCCATGGATGTATAAAGAATAGTTCTACCTCAGTTATTCTCCGTGGGGACTTCCGGCAACAATCTTGATTCTGATTGGCCAGAAGACTCGAAAAAACATCAGCAGAGATGTTTTATTGAGAAGATGATCACTACGTGACAGAAGTTTTCAAAACCATTTATGGTCTCCGGTACTTCCAGTCCAACGCCTACTGCATGCACAGCGTTAGAAAATCGGTCCTTCAAAAATAAAAGTTTGCATTTTTCCCCAAAAAAAAAAAAAAATTCCAATTTTTTTTTTCAACTTTTTTTTCTTCACTCACACATCCGCGACCCACTTGAAACGGGTCCGCGACCCACTTTTGGGTCGCGACCCACCAGTTGAGAACCACTGTACTAGTGTATACTATACTATCACCTGTCGCTCACTATTTCAGGAAGCAGTGAGGGGGGACGGGGGGACGTTAAGGAGGAACAGAGTGAGAGGTGGGATCGCGGAAGTTTTCCTCCTTCCTTTACAAACTTTACACAAGTATAAGTATTTATCGTCTGAATATAGCAAAAAGCCGTTCACTGGAGTTGCTTGTCTCGGTTGCTGAAGCAGACTTTGCTCCGTGTTTGGTGTTTGGTGTCTCTGTGCCGCTGTAACTTCTGTTCCTTCAGCTCTGTGTCACTCACACACTGGTCACTGCCTCAGAGTGCCGCTGCTGATAGGAAGTCGCTTCAGTGCGCATGTCACAAAACGAGATGCATTTTGGGACATCTAGTTTATGGGCCGTATAATAACCGTATAATAAACTGTTTATTCTTTGCGAGCTCTCGCGGGCCTAATAAAATGAGGTCGCGGGGGCCTTGAGTTTGACACCCCTGCCCTAAAGGGACAACAACAAAAAGTCGGGATAACGAGACACTAACCCGTTATCCTGAAATGTTTCTCTCTCTTTTTTTTCTTTTCATGTCATTTTCATTTTGCACATGAAAAAGTCTAATATATCATATTCCAATCACTTGTATATAGACTATTATTGCACTATTTCATACATTTACTATTTTTCTTTTTGTATTTACTTGCACAATTGTTTTCTGTTTTTCAGTTTTATTGTGTTGCACTGTTGGAGGAGCCTGTGACCTAAGATTTTCATCGTCATAACTACACTGTAGCTAAGTACGTATGACAAATAAAAGCCTTGAACCTTGAACTATTTGAATGAAACATGCAAACACCAGATAGAAACTAAACAATAACAGTATAGTGCCATACAACAACACTGACTTTTTATGTTTGTTTTGTCAAGGCCATTATATTTTTGTGGTTCTATATTTTTTTGTTTATTTATTCACATGTAGCCTACTCCTACAATCAGAAACATACACTATGTTTTAGGTGTGGGTGAGGCTTTATGGGTTCTTTAACCGGAACAGAGAAGCAAACTGAAATAAAAGCTTAATTAAATTGTGTATCGTTGCTTTTATAAGCCCGATTTCAAGATGTGTGATCATTACTTTATTATGGGTAAACTAACTATAATGAAAATTATATTGTGTTTATTTGAACTGAGAGTGAGATTGCTGTGTATACACATCGTCTCCAATAAAACATTTAAGATTTACCACCGTTTTTTAAAGCAGGAAAATAGTATTTTTTCCAGCCCTGAGTAATGTCTACGGGACAGGCTGCATACATCGCCCACAAAGCTCTAAAAACCTAACATGAACCTGAAAGGTAAAACTCAGGGCAAAAAATGTCCACTAGACTCAGACTAAATGTTTTGTTTTCATTATAAATGTCCAGCGTTCTTGGTAAAGTGCCAACTTTTGTAAAAACAATTTTTTGTTTGTTTATGAAACAAATATCAAAATGAAACATTGAGATTTTAATACAAATACATAAAATATTCCAGTTGATTTCAAGAGAAACAAATGATTTAAGGGAATAAATGAACATAATAGGGTTTTAGATTTCATTACTTCTGATTGAGATGTGATTCATTAAATGTTCCTCCCCTTTGGAAAATATTCTGAAGGAGAATATCTTTCTCAAACATAAACAAAATATGAAAATGACTGAACAGAATCACACTTACTTCTCCTGAGTCGTCCTGTCAGCTGCTTCTCTCTCTGTCTCTCTCGATGTGCTGGTGAAGACTCAGATATCCACGAGGTCGCTGCTCTCTTTGAGCCACCTTTGGGCAAACATTTGAATATTAAAATTCAGATTTCAATGAGGTCTATCATGAAATATAGGATCCAGTTATGGAAAGAATATCAATTACATGTAACAGGGAAAACAGTTGAACACACTTCCTTGTTGACTGTCTGACACACGGAAAGAAAGGTACCATTCCAAAATATGCACTAATGAGAACTATTGAATGTTTATATTTTTTATATTTTTGTTCGGATATTAATAATAATAATAATAGCTTGCATTTATATAGCGCCTTTCAAGGGACCCAAGGTCGCTGTACAGTAATAGGGCAAAAACAAACATGACAAAACAAAAGTCAGACAGACAAAACAACAGATCGATTAGGGGCTGAAAGCCTTGGCAAACAGATGGGACTTGAGGGCCCTTTTGAAGGCGTCGAGTGTGGGGATGTTGCGAATCTCCGCAGGGAGAGCGTTCCAGAGGGTGGGGGCTGCCACACTGTAGGCTCTGTCCCCGAAGGTTCGCAGTTTGGTGCGGGGGGTGGTGAGCAGGCCAGAGTCTGAGGACCGCAGGTTCCGGGGTGGGGCATGTGGGTGAAGGATGTCCGATAGGTACTGGGGGGCAAGGGCATGGAGGGACTTGTAGGTGAGGAGGAGTACTTTGTAAGATATACGGGACTTGACCGGCAACCAGTGTAGGTGGATGAGGGTGGGAGTGATGTGCTGCCACGGCTTTGTGTGTGCGAGTACCCTAGCAGCACAGTTTTGGACATACTGGAGCCTGTCTAGGTTTTTTTTGGGAACCCTGAACAGGACACCATTGCAGTAGTCCAAGCGGGTGGTGACAAATGCATGTACTAGGGTTTCGGCAACCGACTCCGAAAGTGACGGTCGGAGTCTGGCAATGTTCCTCAGGTGGAAAAAGGCCGATTTGGTCACAGATTTCACGTGGGAATGGAAGGAAAGGGTGGAGTCAAGGATGACACCCAGGTTGCGGGCTTCAGGAGATGGGGAGATGGAGCAGCCGTCGACCTCGAGGATGAAGTCACTAACCTTCTGGAGCAGGGCCTTGGGTGCCACAACCATGAGCTCTGTTTTCTTGCTGTTTAGTTTGAGATAGTTGGAAGACATCCATGCTTTGATGTCATGCAGGCAGTTGATGAGAGACTGAGGGGGGAGCTGGGAGGATGGAGTGGTGCTGAGATACAGTTGGGTATCATCAGCGTAACAGTGGAAATTGAGTCCATGATGTCGGATGATCTGGCCGAGGGGGAGCATGTAAATGGTGAACAGGAGGGGGCCAAGCACAGAGCCCTGGGGTACACCGTGGTGGACTGGGGCCGGGGGTGAGTTTGAGCCACTGATGGAGACAAACTGTTTCCTGTTATGGAGGTAGGATGTGAACCAGGACAGCGCTGTGCCAGTGACACCTAGGAGGTCTGAGAGGCGGGTGAGGAGGATGTTGTGAGAGATGGTGTCAAACGCTGCAGAGAGGTCCAGGAGGATGAGGATGCTGAGGCGGCCAGAGTCAGCAGCAATGAGGAGATCGTTGGTGATCTTGATGAGGGCAGTCTCAGTGCTGTGTTGCTGTCTGAAGCCGGATTGGAAGGGCTCATAGAGCTCATGGTTGGACAAGTACAGATGGAGTTGGCCGGCGACCACTATATTGCTTGTTACCATATGTCAAACAGCTTTAAGAGAACATTCTGGCTGTATTTGAGCACCCCATATTTCAAGTGTGTCAACATTATTTGAATTTCAGTCACATAGTTTCTTTATTCTGAAACACAAGTCAAAAACATTATCTCTTTGTTGTCTCTATTCTTATGAGTCTGTCCATCCAGCTATTTCATTCCTGTGAATGCTATATCTCAGGAGAACGTGAGGAATTCATTCAAGTCTTGCACAATCTTCCACTTGGACTCAAGGATGAATCCATTTCTGTCACATGTTTGACCTTTTGATTGTGGTCAAAAGGCCAAAAGTCTCTGTGACCTCACAAAACACGATTTTGTGGCACTAACAAGAATTATTATGTTAGCTATGACAATGTCACTCAACTTTCCGATCAGTAAATAGCAATAACCGTGCATAAACAAGATCGTTTTGGGATTAGAATTTCTCAAAACAAAGAAGACCAATTGTAAGCCACTGTGGGACACCAAAACACATTTTTAAACGACTTGATGTGGAATTATTTGAAACTACTGCCTGATTTCTACAAGAAAGATAGTGATAACAACCACTTATTTAACTGGTAATTATCTAGCTTCACAGATCATGTTTAAAGTAAAATATGAAATATAAATATAAATATACATAATACAGTAGGATTACGGACTGATCCAGCCAGGCCATGTACAGAGCACTCGGTCAGTCGCTGTGTGGCACAAGAAGGCTCCCGGAAAGATAACATCACATTTACATGAACATCTAAAAACAGCACAACAAGAACAAAGACTGCTCTTACTTGACTTGACTTTACAAGTCAAATGAGTGCAGCTATGGTTTGCAGCACACCTAAACAGACCTATCCCATATGTCTCTCCTATTTGAATAACTCTGCCATGGCAACAGTCACAGTGTCCACCTTTTTGATACAATTTGGCATTTCTGTTTTCATGTCCTTATTCTGATAAAGAGGCCTGAATACATGTTTCACCTGCTGTATATTTCATGTATAATACAAAGCCTTTGACTTAACTTAAAGAGAACAAGATCAAAATAACTCACAACTTCAGTCCTGTGTTCTCCTGAAACTTAAAAGCAGCCCAACTGTTAAATTGATATTCACGAAAAGTTGAACTTTGAGAATGGGCTAATGCCAGGTTTGGTCCACTAGTTCAAATAAAAGGAAATCCAAATGCTTCAGCATACGATAACACTTCCATTAGAATTACCACACACACTTGCACAGATACCCACAGGAACACACATTAGCCGCGTTCACACCGGAGTACTTTTCACCGTAGTTTTCGCGTTTAGTTCCGTTAGTACCCCTTATGTCGCGTTCACACCAAAAAGAGCACTTCATCTCGGGAACTTTTACCCCCATTTTTAGTGCTGAGAGATGGTACTTTCCTGGGGGAAAAAAGTGCCCCAGTTCTGATTGGCTGGGCGAATTGCAAACCACGCCCCGTACAACTCTGAAATGTTTCGTAGAGCCGCCATTTTATTATCCTGGCATTAGCATTATTAGCATTAGCATTCGCCCAGCGCACAAACATAGAGAGACTAACTTATGGCAACACAAAAGAAAACATGGTAGCGGTGGAGATGAGGAGGTGTCGGCATTCTGGCGATTTACTCGCAGGCACGCAAACGGTTACGTCATGACGCAAACGATGACGCACCAGTTGGACTCTGGGCGGTGTGAAAAGAGCCGGAGCTAAACCGAAGAACCGGTTCTGAACCTGAAAAGCTCTAGCACAGAGCTTGAACCGGAGTTGCGTTGGTGTGAATGAGGTATCAGTCAATTATGGGGTGTCATCATATGCCGTTTCCATGGAAACGCATCCCTCGCCATAAAACACGATGTCGCTGTAACTCCAATGGACACGGTCCGATCGTCCCCCAAACTTCGCTTGTATATCACCGGTCCATGCCTCAACAGCTCTACGCCAAATCTGAGATCTCACCATATGCCGTTTCCATGGAAACGCATCCCTCGCCATAAAACACGATGTTGTCGTAATTCCTATGCAAATGGTCAAAACAGCAGCAGACTTCAGATAATGGTTAATGGTCCGGCCCTCAAGGGCTACATGTCAATTATGGGTTGTCATCATATGCCGTTTCCATGGAAACGCATCCCTTGCCATAAAACACGATGTTGTCGTAACTCATATGAAAATTGTCAAAACAGCACCAGACTTCAGATGATGGCTAATGGTCCAGCCTTCAACATGTCTATGTGCCATTAGGGAGTTTTCCTCACAACGCATCCCTCGCTGTAAAACACGATATTGCTATAACTCCGATATTGCTATAACTCCTATGAAAATCGTAAAAAAGTGCTGAAACTTCACGTGTGCTAACAGTCCAGCCGTGATGACATCTACGTGACAGTTTTGAGATTTCTTCAAATGCCGTTGCCATGGTAACACAAGGCTCGCCATGAAACACGCTTTTCTCATAACTTCAGTGAAAATGCTCAGCCTTCACAGGTTTGGTAAAGATGCAGCCATCGACACATTTAAGCGTATTATGGGGTGTCATCAAATGCCATTGCCATGGCGACAGATCACTCGCCATCAAGTTAGTTCAAAAGTTTGCAGTTAGAATATTCTGCTGCTTTTCCAAGCCTTTTTACTTTCTTTTCTTCTCTCATCACACATTCAAGCCCCCAGTGTTCATGTATCATTTCAATCTAAATTCTTCATTTTCTTCTTACACATTACATTTCAGCATAGCAGTTCAGCATCACCTTTTCAGCATAAAGCATTTCCACTAGCAATTTCTTCAGGAATTGCATTCTCTAGTTGATTATTGTTCTTTCGTCTTCACAAAGAAAACTTTAAATTACATACATTAATATTAAGTAAGAGATCATTATTACAGTGCTATGACATTATTTTATGGTAGGAGTTGCAGCACAAATATCAGCCAGTAAAAACACATTATATATAGGCCTATTGGCATTTTATAATATAATCCTTACAATGTGATGAAACAAAAGCACCATCAGTCAGTCGGGGAAGTTTCTTTCAAAATTGCTTTATTTCTTTCCGTATTTTTTCAAGCATATTTTTTATGATTCCATTTTTTATATTAATGTAATTAAAAAAAGATAAAACTTGGGATCTTTTTTTGTCTTTATGTACAAAAAAAAAACGTTTAGGAAAAGAAACTATGAACATAAAAGAATCCCTGCACGATAACACTGTAAAAAAAAAAGAAGCATTAAGTGGAATCACACACACACCTCCAGTTTACAGTTCCTAACTTAAGCCACACCACACAACACCACACACACACACACACACACACACACACACACACACACACACACACACACACACACACACCCACACACACAACACACACACACACACACCACACACACCCACACACACACACACACACACACACACACACACACACACACCACACACACACACACCACACACACCCACACACACACACACACACAACACACACACACCCACACACACACACACACACACACACACACACACACACACACACACACCTCCAAGTGACAGTGACAATTCCTATTTTCCATCCTTGTCGTTAGCAGAGGCACACAGCTGCTGTTCATATTAGGATATGTGCCACCTGATAAATGTCTTTCTGACATCTGTCGTCATGAGGTTATGGAGAAGAGAAAATAAGCTCATTTTAACTGAGAAAACTAAAAAATGATGAGGTGAAAAGTCATAATAATAGCTCATGTCTTTCTTAATATGTCAGATATTAAATAAAAAGGCCAATACTGAGTTGTAATTTTGTCTCTCACAACTATGACTTTTGACATATTAAGTCATAATTCTGGCTTTTTTTTGACTCAATTTCTTTACTTGATAAGTCAAAATAGCATTGGTTGAGTCTTTTATTTTTCCACTTTCTTACCCTGGTGAAAACGAGCTTTGATAGAACAAATATGTACGAAAAAATGTATTCTGAGGTCTGTGCATATATAGTGGTTATGCAAAGAAAATAGGCCATTATTGATAGGAGAAATGTTACACTTCCAAGTAAGGACACACTGATGCTTCACTGAGGCTCCTCACTTCCTGTTCATGTGGTATTATAATAAAATTCACTGTGTCCTCAAGGAGACAAAAAAAAAAAATCCAGACACTCGGCCTACTCTCAAACACATCCAAAATACATTCTGTACAAAAAGACACCCTGAGTCTCGTCATTTCGCTGCATCTCCTCTCATTCGCTTGTCCACCGCCACCAAAAAAAACACAACACTGGTCCCCTTCTCCAACAGACCGCACCCCCCACAGGTGGACAACACACACACACCACACACACACACTTACACGCACACACACACACTTACACACGGCTGATCACTTTTATTATTTTTCTTCGATCGTGGAATTGTGTTGGCATTTCTGTAGCTTGACATAAGTGGAATGGAAACCCTAAGGATGAAAGGAAAAGGTTTCGGGGGGCTGACAGCCAATGAGAGTCTCTCCTTTTGCCCCCCCCCCCCCCCCCCCCCCCCCCCCCCATCGTCTCCCCCTTCAGTCGCTTCTATGTGATTGGCTGCGTCTTTATCGCTTCCTTAGTTTCGTCCAATCAGGAGTAGATGGTGATGACTTCACCTCCTCCTCCTCTGACCAATAGGACGCGCTCCAGCCCTTCTGTCAGGACCTCCAGGAACTCCATGTCTGGTCCCAAAGTTAAGGAGTGATAAGGCTGATGATCGTGGAGTAAGAAGGGGTCAAATGTTAGGTAAATATTCGTATTATAGCGCAGTGTCTCCTGGAGGAAACTCATGGTGTCACACTCGGTTAGTCACAAGAATGACAGTAATAGTTTTATCAACAATAACAACAGAGCGAGAGACAATGTTATTTTCGTTTTGAATTTTCAGAGGGTTTTTGGTTTAATATTTTTTAGTTTAAATTTCTACCGGTATTTGAATTAATACAACATTTAAATCATGTGCTTCTGATTTAATTCTACAAGATGGGAAAACTAAATAATTCATCATGAAGCAATCGCGCCCTGAAGTGTCAACTAAGTCTGAAATAAATGCAGTTCCCTTTTCCGATAGCTAAATAAGTAAAACTTGAATGAATGTACTTTTTTTTAACCATCCAATATTGTTAGAGTCTAGTTTCAGTTTATCACAATATTTTCTGCTTACTTTCATGTTTGATTGTTAAAAACCATGGCAAGAGAGAGACATTCAAACACTGGTGGCTGGAAATGTCAGATTGTTGGACATTCATCACGTTTCTGAAGCTTTTAAACCCTCCAACAAACACTTCTGATGAAGAAAAGGCATCTTAAATATCTAATATATGTTACTAACTGAGAACCCCTCAGATTTGAAGGATACAGTTCTCAATGTTTGTTTTAAAAACATGGCTAGAGAGAGAGATTCAAACTCTGATGGGCGGATATGTCAGATTTTTCTGAAAAGTTTTGAGAGTTGTCGGACAATCATGAGGTTTCTGAAGCTTTTAAACCATCAAACAAACACTTCTGATGAAGAAAAGGCATCTTGAATATCTAATATCCTTAACTAACAGAAAACCCCTGAAGGAAACAGTTCTCGTCTCCGTCTGTGTTCCTAACATTTATCGGTTTGCAACTTACAAATTATGTATCTAATATATCATATTCCAATTACTTGTATATAGACTCTCCTTGCACTATATTATCTGTTTTATTGTGTTGCACTGTTGGAGGAGCCTAAGATTTGAATTGACATATCTACACTGAAGCTCTGTACAAATGACAATAAAAGCCTTGGATCTTGAACATTCATCAAGTTTCTGAAGCCACAAACCATCAAACAACCCCACCTGATGAAGTATAAGCATCTTAAATATCCTAAACTATCAGAAAACCCCTCAGATTTTAAGGATACAGTTCTCGTCTCCGTCCGTGTTCCTGGGCGGCCCCGGCATGTTGAGCAGGACCAGCCGTGCATCGTGGGATTTATTGACGATGACCTCGTTGAGTTTCACCGCGGTGTGCATCCGCCTGACGTTAGAGTGATCCCTGCAAACAAGACGAGACACACACTTAACAACGTGTTTAAAAGAACTACAAAAATGGCTGAATGTGTGAGTGTTTTCCGCACTCACGGCCTCATGCTGAGCATGTCTCTGAATCCCTCTGGAGTGGAGCATCCTGAGTGAGCTGCTCTGTACTGAGAGCTCTTCTCTTTGGTCCAGGTCATCTGAACTCTGCGGTGATGTTCGGTGCTTCCTCTTCCTCCTCCTCTTCCTCCTTCTCTTTCTCCTCCATTTCCTCCAGCGTTTGAGGCCCTTTCTCTCTCTCCTCCGTCAGTATCGTCGTCATCGTCCGATCCGATGCTCGTCAGACGCAGCATGGAGTTTCTGTCTTTCACCACCTGAGCCTGAACACACACACACACACACACACACACACACACACACACACACACACACACACACACACAACAACCACACACACACACACACACAACACCACACACACACACACACACACACCCACACACACACACACACCACACACACACACACACACAACACAACACACACCACCCACACACACACACACACACACCACACACACACACCACACACACACACACACACACCCACACACACACACACACACACACACACACACACACACAACACCCACACACACACACCACACACACACACACACACCTTCTTATCACAGTTTCTTTACAGGGAGTAGTAAACCTTTGCTATATCATCTCAGTTTTTTATTCTTCTACATTTCTGTTCTCCCTTCTCCTCTCTCTCTGTTCTCCTTCTCCTCTCTCTCCTCTCAACAAAAGGATAACTAACTTTCTAACAGGAAACACAGGCTGCTGTACTCCATCAGGAACACCAGAGGAAAGCTACAGGGACACGTCTGAAGAATAATATTAAGAAGAAGTGAGTATTGAAAAGGGTGTATAATGAAACCAATTTACAGAAAGGCATATTAATGATATAGATATATTAGTATATATATGTGACTGTTATTTTGTATATATGTGACTGTTATTTTATGTCCTAATGTGTGCATATGCATAAATGTGTCTGTTGATTGTGTATATATATATATATATATAGGTATATACATATTTTTTATTTTGTATTCGGGATTGTGGGTATTTCGATGTCTCTGTCTGTACACACAAACTGAAAGACTGACAATAAAGTTAACTTTGATAATAAAAATATATTTTTGACCCAAATCAGCATATATTCACTTCATTATCGGACAAATTCTTAATTAAATCCTTCAGATAAAAACATTTAAGAACAGAAAACGTCAGATGAACGAGGATTTGAAGTTAGAGTTGAACCCTTGTGCTTCAATAAAGACATTTAAGGTTTTAACTGAATATGTACGGCTAATGTGTAAATGCATATTAAGGACAGTCTTTAACACACTGTGTAGCCAACATACAGACTATGTCTATTTGATGTTGGTTAAAAAATGTAAATGTATAAAGTGGAAAAAATATGTATAAATTCAGTGTCTTGGTTTAAGACACTTCTCCTATTCACTATGCTACCTAAATGTACATTAATACTTATAATAGCATTGGTTTATCGATTTAAAAGGTTGCATAAAACAAGCAGACTCTTATTCTCTCACTGATCTAAAACTATGGGATCAAGGAGACCTCTTCATTTGAATCTAAATGATTAAAACACACCTACTGCTTTACTAACATTAAACTTACTTCATCAAAACTCCAGCGGTCCCTCTGAGGAGACCAGTGTGCAAAGGAGATGAACTTTAATAATAAACCTGTTATTTAATAAAGAATCACGTCTGTACCGTGTGTCCTCCGGGGAAACATGACCTGGTATGACCGGCTATAAGGTCATTTCTCTGTAACAATGTTTAATTATTTAGCTGATATAACCTCCTATAAGAGCTGTATATAACATTTGAGGGGAAACTTAGTCATTTGCAATACAAGGAAAGCAACAACGTATATAATAAATAATAGAAAGAACATTAATAGAAAGTATACACAGCTTTTGGAGACAAGTGATATGACACATGACAGTATTGATAGCAGCAGTCAACCAGTGTATTTGAACATTGTATGGCAGGCTAATATGTGATGTGATTAATTAAGATAAGTCCTAAGACCTGTTTTAATTCTTAAAATCAAGACCTTCCTGCTTTAATCTGTCTGTAGCATCTTTTATTTTGAAATCATGGATAACAATAACAATAATATCAAAGAAAATTACTTAATTTATTTTGTATATGCCTAAATTAATCTGAGATAACAATACAAAATCTGGAATATAGTAAATTGCTTTTATCTGAACACATTTACAAGAATATAGTGAGTTTCTTTAACAGATATTCTATGATGAAAACACTATCGTAAAACTGCCTGAATCCCTTTATGTAATGAGACTGATGACCTCCCGCTGGCCACTGACCTCACCTGAGACCTCGCAGCTCCACCTGCCTCCGTCCTACTGCTGCTGCTGCTACCAGGGTGTCCCTGATAAAATGATGCACGACAATCACAAACACATCAGATGGCAAACCGTGCACACAACTGTTAAAGGTCACCTATTATGCAAAATCCACTTTTTCATGCCACATCAACATGTGTCCCCTCTTCTTCATGTCTCTTCTACATCACCATGTGTCCCCTCTTCTTCATGTCTCTTCTACATCAACATGTGTCCCCTCTTCTTCATGTCTCTTCTACATCAACATGTGTCCCCTCTTCTTCATGTCTCTTCTACATCAACATGTGTCCCCTTCTTCTTCATGTCTCTTCTACATCAACATGTGTCCCCTCTTCTTCATGTCTCTTCTACATCAACATGTGTCCCCTCTTCTTCATGTCTCTTCTTCATCAACATGTGTCCCCTCTTCTTCATGTCTCTTCTACATCAACATGTGTCCCCCTCTCTTCATGTCTCTTCTACATCAACATGTGTCCCCTCTTCTTCATGTCTCTTCTACATCAACATGTGTCCCCTCTTCTTCATGTCTCTTCTACATCAACATGTGTCCCCTCTTCTTCATGTCTCTTCTACATCAACATGTGTCCCCTCTTCTCATGTCTTCTACATCAACATGTGTCCCCTCTTCTCCATGTCTCTTCTTCATCAACATGTGTCCCCTCTTCTTCATCAACATGTGTCCCCTCTTCTTCATGTCTCTTCTACATCAACATGTGTCCCCTCTTCTTCATGTCTCTTCTACATCAACATGTGTCCCCTCTTCTTCATGTCTCTTCTACATCACCATGTGTCCCCTCTTCTTCATGTCTCTTCTACATCAACATGTGTCCCCTCTTCTTCATGTCTCTTCTACATCAACATGTGTCCCCTCTTCTTCATGTCTCTTCTACATCAACACGTGTCCCCTCTTCTTCATGTCTCTTCTACATCAGCATGTGTCCCCTCTGTGTAAAGAGACTCTGAAAGTTTCAGGAACAAAGATTCTCTCTCTTTTTGTCCTGATCCATTTCTATAAAAACCTGTCTGAAAATGAGCTGATCAGATTTTGGCCACTTTATGATGTCATAATGATGTGTTTTCTTGTGTAACCATTAGCCAATCAGCAACCAAGGTAACCCCCCCCCCCCACCTTATCACCTGAATCTCCTCCTAGAGCACCATTGTGTTCTTTTAACCAAATATCTCTCAGAGGGGCGTGGGAGGGGCTCCTTATTTTCATCTAAAGTAAAAGACATGGGAACGCGGTTCCAGGGCCGATGCGGAGCCAGAGCCTGAAAAGCACAGTTTCTTTCTGTTCACACCGCAGCGGAGCCGGCTCTAAGCTCCGAAACCCGGTGCTTTTCAAGCACCAAAAAATTGTCGGTCTAGAAGCAAGAACCGCATACGTCGGCGGCGGGGGCAGGGCAGGGGCGGGATCAACCTGAGCAATAACAGTTTATGGCGAGTACGGCAAATGAAAGTTGTAACAAGCAGTAGTGCTGAGCAAAGTGACTAGAACGCAACCACACACTTTATAAAGTCAGGCAACACTAACCAGGCTTCGTGTGATTCTGTTTATTTGTACCTTACTTTGACCATCCGTTCGCTGTTATTGATCATTGTGGAGAGGCAGGCAGACGTTTTGTTGTTGTTATTATAGCAGCTATCGGATGGAATCAATACATGGGCTGCACAGGTTGTCATGTCCGACTATCACAAGTAGAATCATAATGAAAAATACGCCGGTAAATGTGCCTGTAGAAAACGGCTTATGCACAATAGGATAGCAACAAGTAGTCAAGATAGTCAGTTTAGCTTCGGTTGCTATGCTAACATCACCCATTTTATACCAGAGAAACTTTCATAACGGCGTTGTGAAGCCCAGTCGGGCTCTGGGCGTGTGAACAAAAACGGGGGCTGAAAAGAAAAACCGGTTCCGAACCAGAAAAGCTCTAGCACGGAGCTAGAACGCGAACCGCGTTGGTGTGAAGGGGCAACAGAGAATCAGCTCTTTTGAACCAGGGCTGAAACAGAGGGGATTATGGGATGCTGCAATGATCTGTTTGGTGTTTCAGCCAATCAGAGACATGTTCTGTATATATCTGAGACCTATAATATATTGATGAAAAACAGTGTAATAGGGGACCTTTAATAATGACCCAAATACTGATGAAGAATCACTCAATACATCGTGTTACTGGTGGACACAATCTTGCTTTGACTGTTTACATGCACATCTACACCCTTTTTCTTTTCCTTTTTTTAAATAAAAGGATATAAATGTGATTGTGAGCTCATCTTACCTCTCTCTCCCGGTCAGATTTGGACAGTCTCATCTGCCGGAGCATCTGAGATCTCTGCTCCATCATCAGAGTCCTCTCGTAGGTGTACGCACTGATGTCACTGTCATGCTGAGAGAGAGTGAAATCATAAAAACTTTATTCTTTAACCGTTAAAAGGAAATGTCTCAGATTTGTATTTGTACCGATAAACATCGCAGATTTGTAACTTGAGTAAATTCCTACATCTTATAGATTTTCTGTTTTGGACAATGTGTAAATGTCTTGAAAATCAAATTAGTCTTTTTTTAACTCAAGTATTAAAAGCTTTTATTTTCATTTTTTACACACTGGCTGCTTCATTAGTTCTCTTGAGTCATGACAGTACCATTAACTGCAAGAATAGGAACCTCAATTAATATACATTTTATTTAAGGAGATTTTATAAAAAGTATTCAGACACATACAGGTTAAAATGTCTAAAAAACATGGTTTGAATAAAAATTAAAAAACACTATTATCTACACATTAACCTGTTGAGCCCTGAGCCTGTTTTTCAGGTCTCAGGCTCGAAAATGACCCAATGCCCAGGACAATGACTATAACTTCTTCACTTCTAAAAGGGTTACATTAATAATCTTTTTTCTCAAAGTAATGATAAACCTGTGAGTTGGATGTAGAAAAGTCAGAATCAATATAGATGTTTTTTATTTTAAAGAAATTCAGATTGAACATATGTAAAAAAATGTAAATTATAGTGTCCGTCCAAAGATTCTTTTTTTACTTATAGTGAAAACTACCCTTGGATGGATGGTAGACTAAAAGCTTTAGGAATCCAAAGTACACATATAATAAGTACCCTGTATGAAGATTGATGCAAAACAAGTGACATTTGACCTTTTTAGAGAGGTTTAGCAAAAAAAAAAACACTTCTGGGGTCATTTGGGTTTATTTGCCATATCTCTGGAACCCATTGGTCAATTTTGATGATTGACACCTCTTTTGAACCGTTAGAGCCAATAGAATTGAGGGGAAGTTCCTAAATCCAGCCACACGTTACCATTGAGGAGTGAGAGTGATGCGCACGCAGCTTGCCCAAACCGAAAGCTATGTTACGCTCTGAAAACTGAAAAATCAGTTTATTGACAAAAATGTTATGATTGATTATCAGTAATCATTTCAAAGTGACACAGACACATTGGATTAACCTATGGATTAACCTTCAGCAGTTTATATGCGTTGTAATGCCATTGAACACAACTTTAGATCAGACAACAGCAAAGGTAAGAAGTATTTGCCGCTTTGGCTACGTAAAGTGAAGTTGTGTGTTGTCTTTGCTGGCTTTCGCTGACGAGAGTTTTGGTCGCACAGTGATGATACTTAGACCATTGGAATCTGTGGAATCTGGTTGGTGCAGATCCGATGAAGTCTACAATATTTCTACCGTGAGTTATGTGATAAGTGCGTTAGCACCCTTTCGCTTAGTGCTAATTCAGAGGCTCGGGGTTAGACTTGTGTTTTGTTTAGGTAAAAATAGTTCATATCGTCAGTTAGCTGAGTTTCTTCCCGTTAGGTGGGTATGACACATTCATAGTTTGTTAAATGTTAAGAAGCCCTCAGACGCTGTTTCTTGCGCCTGAGGGCTGTTTCTTGCAAGATGTTGCAAGATGTTGCTTAACAGGTTAAAAGCACCTCAAAAAGGCGAGAAGCTCTAAAAGAAGTGAAATACATGACTGGACTGTTGTGTCTACAGGTGTACAACTATTGTCATGCTTTGTGTATTTTGCAGTCAGGTAACAAGAGCTGAAACCACGGGACTCGATGGAACTCATATGTCTGCAGATTATTCATATTATTACCCATTTTTCCATCTCTACACTCTGGTTTTCTTGCACATTCACAGTGAAGGGAAACTTATGTTTATACTATTATTTAAGTGAGTAAAAATGTCCTGATTAACCACGCCAGCGTACCATCTCAACCACTTCCACCTCAGCCTCGATGCGGAGGTGATACAGGAAGGTTGCCAGATCCTTCTTCATCTGGATGGAGTTATCCTCCATTTGGGCCACGGTGAAGATCCTCATCCCACACTTACGCCACACCTGAGGACCAGAGGACAGAATATTTAACACATTTAGCAATATTTCCACTAAAGGAGGGACATTTTAAAGCAGGGGTGTCAAACTCAATTTCATCACGGGCCACATGAGCATTCTGGTTGCACTCAAAGGGCCGGTTGTAACTTTAAGACTATTTAAATATACATATATGAATATATAATAATATTAAATAATGTATTATATTACATTATTGGCTCTGCATTGGATTATTATCAGTTCTGGTAATAACTTCATAAATAACTACGTCTGAAAGCAGAAGTCTCGGGCAAACAATTGAAAGCAAATATCCAACAATTACACCAAATGTTATTGTATTTTATATTCTTTGCCCGCCGGCGTGAAGTGTTAGACACCCCTGTTTTTTTCTTTACACTTTTGTTTATAAGGCTGAACCAAGAAAAATGTGATAGCTTATGTTCAACACAGTAGCTGATATGTGTGAGCTTGAAGTCAAATGAGGGATGTCACTTAGTCAAATTACTGAATGGTTAATTCTACATTAACCAAATTGATAACAAATCTAGATTCCCCTTAACCTGGTATATACATTTCAAACATTGGATCTGGATTGTTGACTAAACATTATGCATTGTTCATTTGTAAAACGGCACCAAAATCCTAAATTTGAGTTGACAGTGATTTTGTATCTCAGCACATCGTAGCTACTGTTCATTAATAAATCCGTTCTGCCCCTAACAGCAATCAGGATACTGCATTTCCAGATGCTAGCACACAATAAGACACCCCTGTTTTAAAGTGTATGTAACCACAGATGCTACCTTGTGCTGGCGCAGCAGGAAGGGCAGCAGCATCAGCATCCCCCCGTCGTGGACGATCCACCACACGTCGATGTACCCCTCGCTGCAGGGCTCGCTGTTGTTGGGGAACAGGGAGATGTTTTTGGGCACCAGCAGGGCCAGGTGGGCTGCTGTGGTGACCCGCACCGTGTCTGAGGGAAGAGAGGGGGCGCGGTTAGGATGAGAAACTGAGAAGCTCAACTCCAAGCTCAGGGAGAGAAAAAACCAGGGCTGCCCCAATTAGCAGACTAAACGTTAGTCGGCGGAAAAAGTATTTGTCGACTAATTTTTCATTAGTCAATTAGTAGACAATTTAACTACATTTCATTTACATTTCAAAGGTTCATTATTACAGTTTTATTTTATATTTTATGTGAAGCACAACGTACCATCTGTTATAATAACGCTCTTTGAAACTGAAACCATTTTGGGAGAAAAAAAAATATATAATAATAATCATAATATATCATAAAAGTGCGACGATTGGTCGACTAATCGCCTTAATTGACGACTAGAAAATCTTTAGTCGAGGGCAGCCCTAGCAAAACCCTCTTTTCTTTGACATTTCAAACATGTTCCCTCCACTCACTGATGAAGGTCTTCCAGGCCTGAGGGTCCTCGCTCTGCCTCCAGGCGTGAGGCCAGCCCATCACCACCGTGTTGGGCTTCATTCCTCCGAGCCCACTGGACTGGATCATGTGATGATGCCTTCCCGGGGCTTCTGGGCCACGATGCACTGACAGAAGCCCTTCACCCGCTCCTTATCCATCAGGTGCTTCAGCGTCTGAACAGGACATATGTGAAGGACATGATTCACGGACAAAGTTTGTCTTTTGTTATATTTAATAAAGTAATAAAGATAATATTTGTATTGTACAAATGTTATCCTAAATTAATCTGAGACAACAATAACACATCTGTAATAAGTAAATTGCTTTTATCGGAACACATTCACAAGAATATGTTTTAACTAACAGATATTCTCGTATCTTAAACCAAACTCCCACTGCTCGGCAGCGAGAGCCTCTCCGTAATTCTGCAGGAAGTTTCCGGAGACGACGGTGCCGACGATGGTCAGACCTTTCCCCGCCTTCAGCTGGCTGGCGAACGTCAGCAGGCGAGGAGACTTAACGTGGGCGTCCTCGTCCAGCTTCAGTAACACCAGACCTG